TCACATAGATTATATTATAAATCCCGGCAAGGAATAAGAAATTTGTAAACTGGAGATATATTCCTCTTAATTTCAACATGTTCTTATTTCTATAACAAACAAATTTTAATTAATTTATAACGATGCCAGCACGAACGTATCGGCTACTAGGGTGGTGATACCCTCGGGTACTTACAATCCACCAGGAGACCAAATGGTAAATTTAACCAATTGAAGAGATATACACATCAATTACATTTGTTCTCGAAATCCTATTGAGTGATTTATTTTGTTACATTAGAAGTGCTCTTAGACTTGTATTTTTCTTCCTTTAAATAATGTATGTATCTAAATTAAAAGGCTTAATTACACGAGGTGTATGCTATCTTTTTATATTTTCAATTCCAAAACAGATATCATTTTTAAAAGGAAGGTTGTACCAAGGGGAACATAACAAATCGAAGAAAATCGGACAACAAAACGGTCTAGAAAACAAGCTCCAAATAGACAGACACTTACATACAATGAAAACCGGAGAATAATCGAACACGAACCCCAGGAAAACTTTGAGCAAAATCATGTGTTCTAAACCAAATTCAGGTAGGCGTTAGTTTTATATTTTTGGTTACAAGCCCTAAATGATGTTAACTTCCTACTTTTCCCTGCGCCATTACACAATGCATCATATACTATTTACCATAAAACCATATATCATTCCACAAACAACATACAACATTGATTTTACTTCTTTTTCTTTCGATTCAAACACGATACACAATTCAAAATAAACCCCGATATAATGTGTTTGAAGGATAAAATCAATCTTTTATGAACCGAACGAAATTTAAAAACAAACCAACAATCCTTACGCACCATAACATTCCTATGCACCATACACCTTTACACTATATACCATACAGGTATAGGTGCAGCTACCTTTTCTAGGGTCGTTGTAAATTAGATGCGAGTACATAGAGATTAGAACGATTGATTTGGTACATATAATCTAAGTATATTCCCTCTAGCAATAGTAAAAATCGCTGTTAAACTGAGAAACATAGAAGGAATAAGTCTAACTTTGTTTCATCAAATTGTATTGCCAACGTTGATATACAAATCTTATTTCAGGAAGGTCTAAATCATATTTTGCACAAAAATACTCTGATTCAATCAAAAAACTTCCTGAAACCGACATCATCAAGATGCTAGATCTTTTATTTACAACATATTTGGAGGACATCTTTTTTACAAAGATGGCATTCCAATGGGAGCTAATTGTACTTCTCTTTTTGCTGACTAGTTCCTTAATTTCCATGCCAGACAGATTTGTTGCAGGAGTTTCTCATGAAGATGCGAAGAAAGCCAGCATTATCATTTGACGTTTCGTTCCAATTAAGAATTTTCTCTCACTAAATACTTCAAAGTTTAGTTATTATAGAAAAAGGATGATTTGGAATAACTGCAAATAAGACACCTCTCTACCACCTACCAAATGAAGTAAACAACAATAGGTCACCGTACGATCGTCAACAAGCAGCAAGCAACCTATAAAACTTCTAATGAGAAAAGGAACGTCTTGATGTATTTAAAAATTATTAAACAAAAAATAAATTTGTTATACAGCAACAAACGATAACCACTGCATTACAGGCTCCTGACTTGAAACAGGCATCTACCCAATCAAACTTTAAATAAAAGATACCACAGCTTCTAATATCAATAATGTCTGTCTCATATATTGGATTGGATGTAGAATTGACAATAACAATCGGTTAAGAACAAAATGTTATGACAAAATGAATGATTTCGACTTCCAAATGTTGAACGTTCCATTTCATGCAGCAACATTGCAGCATTTCAGCAGTGACTGTATATGAAGTATATATCTTCCAGATACGATATTCCAGAGCTTGTGCTTCCTATCATGATATTCTTGATAATAGGTTACTGTCTTCAGGGATGCGTTTGAACCAATGCTTCAAGAGTTCAGTCAATACTGCAAAAGTTTTACAAGTGCCATCACGAGTTGGTTGACATTTATGCAATATCTGTGCCACAATTGACTACGTATATATTCAAAATGTTGTTACTACGATCCCGTTCACGATTGTAACATAACTGAAATACCCGCGGTTTTTGGTAGGGTTCGTGTTGCTGGGTGTAAAGGTTTCTATGTAGTGTTTGTACTTCTTTGAGTAGTTTTCATTTGATGTCATAACTTATAAATTTTAATACACAAGATTTGTGGTATATCAATCCAGATCATCGTACATGTAACTCCTGGCGAAATCACCAGTAAATACATATGAAAATTTAACATTTTTTGCAGTTATTGGCTTTACATTTAGAAATGAAACAATATTGTTCAGACTCATAATTGTCCAACATGTCTTATTGTTTAATTGAACAGCCATGAAGGATGATTATTGTCATTGTCACTGATATGATGATCTGAATGTACCGTATCCGAGATATATACGTCATGTTTTAAGAAAACCTGATACAGCAGATGACCTTTGTTTTCTGCTTATTGAAAGGTAACAAAAGTTGTATCTTTCCAATAAAATCATGGGACAAGAAAGATAATAAAATGACTGAAAAAATCTATTTTATTCTATATTTACAAAACTTGTAAACTGTATTTTCATTGCACTGGATACATACTAAAATACCTAAGCTATGCGTCGGATATGAAATACAGATTTATATATACAAACAACAACGTAGATGCAACTTCGGCACTATACAGTCTTATGTTGTAACAAAGTAAAGTTATAAGGTTGCAATGAGCAGTTTGATACTCCTGAATTCTGTATGTCTTTTATGTCATCGTGTATGGCTACCATCTCGTTGCGAACTTTATTATTTAAGCATTGAAACAACTGGTTGAAATTTGAAATAAGAAACACGATTTTGTTTTCCGCTACAATAATAGTGTTGCTTGTAAATATAGTACACGATTTCAGTCCGCTTTAACTCTTACTAGGTTGAAAGAGTTGTGTAGAAAAGTGAAGTGGCCTTGTTCCTGACGCCTGTGTCTTTCAATATCTCTTCATACGTGTCAAAGTTACAAGTCGTTTCCTGACCAGAAAATGTCTTCATAAAAACGCCATTTCAACATATGCAACAAATACTGTATTTGTGACGTCTAATCGACTTTTGTAATACCATTTCTTATATTGTGTTTCGTAATTGTGTCGGACAAATTTGCTTTAGAAGATTACATTATCATAACTTTAGTTTTAAACATATAATATTTTAACTAGTTGTCTTATGTTATAATATTTTTCATTTATCAAGAACAACACAATTGAATCGAATATTATATTCTGTGCATGTTAATCCAATTTTCCTTAATATGTGTGTGAGGTAGCGCTTAATAGCGAGTGAATGCAATATTAAATCATCGCGTTATCAACACACGTACTACACAAAAAAACTAAGGCATGCTTGTTTATTTATTCAGCTATTGCATTTGTTCTATTATCCTTTTTAGTTATGTTAATAGCACAATTAAAACAGAATTTTTGTATTGATTAAACATGTTTAATGTGTGCTCTTTGATATTAAAACAAAATTGATGATTTACCATATACATAATCATGACAATTTGACAACGAAATACACCATGTATATGTTACAGTGAATTTGTATCATCAGGGATTATGTAAAATCCCTGATTTTTCAGCGATTATGTAGAATCCCTGAAAATGACAAGTGATTTTATATAATCACTGAACATTTCTCTAATTATTTTACAAATTCCCTAAAATGAATATCAATAATTAAAAAAAATCAAATAAAGACAAATTATTATTTGTTTTTGTTTTTCTCTTATTCCATGAAAGTTTAAGTGAACAGTTTTCATATCTGATTTACTAGGAAAATCGTAAGAGAACAGTTTTTATAATGATATTTTATTTAAATGTTGAACCACATTATTTCACAAACAAATAAATATGACACAGGCACAGATGTTGCTTTGCTTTGGTTGGAGCAAACGTATGCTCAACAGGTAATGCAAATTGCAGAGAATAACACAACATAAAAGATATGGACAAGGAACAAATAGAATGACATTGTTACTTTGATGAGAAAAGAACCAAGTAAAGAAAACTGAACTCCTGATTATTACTATCAGGGCAAATGTGCAATAGTCGATGTCATCCAAATTTAGTTTGTAAAAATAAACGATTGTTTTAAAATATTGTGCATAACATTTCAAAATAGTGTGTAGCATTTTAATTTATTTTGCCTAATAATTTAATATAATGTGTTTATTATTTTAATTTATTGAGATTAACATTTTATTGCATTGTGCCTAACATTTTAATATATTGTGCCTTACATTTAATATATTGAAGTTATCATTTTAATATATTGTGCTTAAAATTTAAATATTTCGTGTAACATTTTAATATATTGTGCCTAACACTTAAATATATTAAGGTTTTATCATTTTAATATATTGTGCTTAACATTTTAATATATTGTGGCTTATATTTTAATGAACAAAGGTTATCATTTTTATATATTGGGCTGAAAATTTTATTAGACCTTGCCAGATATTTCAAAAAACATATATGTATTGTGCCTAACATTTTACACTTTATGTTTATGATGATGTTTTAATATGATTTTATAGAACATTATTTAACTTTTATTCATTTTTTAATAAACAAAACCGTTTCTTCATTTCAGTTATTATATATAATCCCTAACGTTTTTTCTGGTAATTATACATAATCCCTGAAAATTTTAGTGATTATATATAATCTCTAAACAAACCAGTGATTCTAAATAATCCCTGAAAATTTTAGGGATTCTACATAATCCCCGATTGTACAATTTCACTGTAACATATACACAAATTGATCATTATTACAAGTAAACACAAATGTACAGAAATAGTCATAAAAGTACATGCAGCTGAGAAGCATGTATTCATATCAAGTGTAATAAACCTAGTATTGCATGTTACGTTAATTGTTCAGTATAAATTAGGAAAACCCAAGGGGTGAGTGTTTAAATGCTATGTCTATAAATAGATATAAAATACATAGTGTGTGTATATTTTATTTCCTTGGACAAATTCAGTATGGTAGGTAAATCTTTAATATTTCACCTACTTTTATTCATTCAAATGTTTTCTTAAGTACTAAAATTTATGTATTGAAATATACCCATGCATTTATCTTACATTAACCGAAGTAAACCGAAATAAAAGAACAGAATATTAAAGGTCAATGCGTATAATGAAATGATTCATTGAAAGGTTGAACTAACGTCAAAATATAGGACAAGACATTTACAACAAACATTTTCTTTTATTTCTGAAACTTTAATGAGTACAGCCCTGACATTTGTCAAAATTCTTTTAATAATAATATATTTTAGATACATATATGTCTTGACAAATTTACTTGCAAGGTAAACAATTGATATACAATAAATGGTACTGTGTGTCCTTTTGCTAGTTCTTTTTGTGTGCATTCTTTCGATCTGACGAGTCGAGCATTTTTCAACTGATTTCTTATAATTTATAGTGTATAGTTTGTATTTTGTGTGTGTTGTTGCACCACTGTCCAAGATTAGAAGGAATGTTAAGCGTTCGCACACATGTTTAACCCCGTCACATTATGTATGCATCTGTTCCAAGTCAGGAGACTGTAATTCGATGATTGCTGTTTGTTTCTAAATAAAATCTTTACTACACGTACATAGGCCTATCCATAGCAGGCTACAGGGATTTCAATGTGAACTGCTGCATGGTACTAATAAATAAATTGATATTTTAAGTTGACTCTTCTGTTTCAATTACAATACTTCGTTTAAGTCGCATTTGACATTCACTTCTCGTCATGTTGTGGATGTTACATTATATTGGAGGGGGTTGGGCTGTTAATTCTAAATGGAATTCAGTGTACAGAGTGATTTTTCGGATTTGGTTTCGCCGACAGCTCTAGCTCGAATTTTAATAGGGTTTAGACATTGTTTATCTTTGTGAATTAACTTTTCCTAAATTTAAAACAAATGTTTTAATGCTTTTCAAATTCGGAATTGATTAGCTTTTCTTCTGTTAAGATACGAGAGTGTTGAGTATTTTGTCGATGAAACGTACGTCTGGTGTGCAAATTATAAGCCAAATATCGTTGCGTAATGCTTACAACTAGGTCAATACCTTGCTCTTTACCTTTCCAATCTGTGTGTGTTATCGGCTCAATAGTCAGCATTACAAATATATAGACGATAAGGTCATTTTTGCGAGTTTCATATTTTTTAAATGTTAAAATCATTTGAGAAAAATATGCACAGGAATAAATTGTCTTAATAAGGTGTTGCATATTACTTTGAAATTTTCAATGTTCCTCTGTTTCACAATTAATTTGTTTGTTGTTTTTATTTTTTTATTAGAGCGACTTTTTTTAGTCGTATGCCGAGAAAATGCGCGTCTGGCGTACTAATTTACAAAGTAGATATAACTGAGAGCAGAATGAAAAAGGAAAAAAAAAAAACAATTTTCTTTTTTTTCACCTGAAAATCCTGAGAAAGTCAGTTTTGAAATAATGTTATTCTATTTAGCCTGTATTTCTGGAAATTAACTGGTATATTGATGTAGTTTGTTACATTTTGAAATAAATTTATTTTGAGCTTTCAATAAAATTTGTCTATTTACAATAATGCATAGAATAAATGTATTCTATATATCTACAGAACTTTCTGGCCATCCAGAATTATAGAATAAATTTATTCTATACATACAGAGAACTTTCTGGGCAAACCGAGTTATAGAATAAATTTATTCTATACATGCATAGAACTTTCTGACTATCTATAGTTATAAAATAAATTTATTCTATACATACAGCGAACTTTCTGACTCTCTACAGAGTTATAAAATAAATTTATTCTATACATGTACATACATATAACTTTCTGACTATCTAGAGTTATAAAATAAATTATTCTAAACATACAGCGAACTTTCTGACTATCCAGAGTTATAAAATGAATTTATTCTATACATTCATAGAACCTTCTGACTATCCAGAGTTATAAAATAAATTTATTCTATACATACATAGAACCTTCTGACTATCCAGAGTTATAAAATAAATTTATTATATACATTCACAGAACTTTCTGACTATCCAGAATTATAAATATAAATTTCTCTTATGGTTGTAGCATGTTATCTATTTCTTGCATGAATAGATAATTCTCGTATTACACTGCACGGAGTGTGATACGAAAAAGTGATATGAAAATCTGCGTTGATTTGATTGGCTTATCGTGCGTTAACTAATCAAAATCCTTTCAAATCAAAATAAATTTATTCTAAAATACATTGACTTACAGAGAACTTTCTGAACATACAGATTTATGATAAATTTATTTTGAAAGTACATCAAACTGATTGTTAAGGATTATCCAAAGAATATATGTATTCTATACACACTGTGCTCTATTGTCAAAATAACGTATAAAATAAATTTGTTTTGAAAGTATACTACTCTGAGTGTAAAAAATGAGACATTAAATAACCGTTTTCCCAACCCATAGTGTTATCTGATCTCAATTGTTTATAAAATATAATTCAAGTTCATCAATATCGCAGTCTTTTTAGAATAAGTCATAGACTAAGTTTATATTCAAATCTTTACTAATACACAATGAAATGAGGAAAAGTCTACAAACCATCCGAAATTACAAATATTTACCTCAAGGGTATGTACTATTCACTGAGGTATCTTCTTTCTAGATTTTTCTCTGTAGTCTTTTTATAACTTTTTTTTCAAACTCTTTTTTGTCATGTTCATACCACGAAAAAGCACAAAAAGTAAATCTTAAAAGAAAACAATGGACACAATATTCCTATTTCGTTGAGAAAAATTGTCTGACTGACAACATAGAATAAGGAAATGGATTAATCTATACTTCTGAACAAAAATTAAATAAAATAAAACGAACACAATCTAGATGGCTTTGTTTGGCTACTATGTTTTATCATCTGATAAGTTTGACTGTGTCATTCCATTCTTTAACTTTGATAAGCAGTCTCAATCAGCTTCAAATTTATTTGGAATCGAAATTTTCTGAAGATATCCTGAAATCGTTTTCGTATGTCAAAACACAGTTTCTCGGAGTTCATTGATTATATAGTTCATTCAAAAATCAATGTGTAAAATTTGAATGGATTTTGTATAAAAGGATAATACTTTCTGGTTTTCCGCTACATGTTACATCTATTTTAACAAAATATGTCGGTATTCATGCATGATGGTACAAATATATACTCCATTAACTTGTGATACAAATCGTCCTTCCCCTTGCACACTACTGCTTTCTTGGCCGTGATCTATGAAAAAAAATATTTGAACATGAATTGAATCATATTTAAAGTTTTGTCTTCACAGTACATGCCACGTCCAATGTTTGGTGTTTAACTCAATAATATTTACTTTCTTACAAATATTCTATAGGTTTTTGGAGTATATGCATTGAAAAATGCAGCAAAGTGTATTTGGGCGTTTCAGTTAAAACGAATTATCAATCTACTTAGTATATCTGATCTTGAAAACAGCATATGTATGTTAATAGTAATAGGTTTTAGTCTTAGATGCATGATTTTTTTTATTGGTCGTTATTGGCTTTCAACTAGCTGTCGGTAACTGTGAATACTCTTACATCTGTACTTTGTCTTTTTGTTATCATGTAAGTTGAAGATGCATGAATTCCCTGCCACGTCCAGTCTATGGTTTTGTTAGTTGTTTTTGTTCTTTGTACTATTCTAATGAGTTATAAAGTCCTTTTTAACTGATCTTTATAGTTTATTCTTATGTTGTACTGTTACACCACTGTTCCAGGTAATGGAGAGGGATTGGTACCAGCAAACATGTTAACCCCGCCTCATTCAACATTTGGCTGTCCCATGATAGGAGCCTGTACTTCACATGTAAAGTGGTTGTCGTATGTTGCTGTACATTATACATCATACATGAATGTGTTGTTCGTTTATTGTTTTGTTTTGTAATAGATTTAATAGTTAGTTAGTTTTCTTGTTTGAATTGTTTACATTTGTCATTTCTGGGCTTTTCATAGCTTACTATGCAGTGAGTTTTGCTCATTGTTGAAGGCGGTACATTGACCTTTAGTTGTTAGATTCTTCATCATTCGGTCTGTGGTGGAGAACTGTCTCATTGGCAATCATACCACATCTTCTTATTTCCAATTCATAACGAGTGCGAATTGGATATCGTTTGATATCAATTCGATCTATTTAATTTCAATATGATTATTAACGAGCCTATGGCTTTTAACGTTTTTAAACGATATTCATTTATCGTTTTTAAACGAAATCTATTTCTTACGAGTTGTTAAATTTATTTCTCTTATGCAGATAAACTTGGACTGGACGGTAGACCATATGGGACATTTAAGGAATGCAAATCGAATGTAATTTATACTGAAGTTTTGTGGTTCATAGAATTTAGATCAACACTATTTTTAGTATATTAATTCATTTTAACATTTATACGAGTGGAACGTAGTTTTGATGTTCAAAAATCTGTGCCCCAAGATGGCAGGCCAAGTGGACGTTTAAACGAGGAACAAGAACTTCAAAGTGACGTATACTTATTTCGTTTATTTTAAGGCTCATTACAGCTCAAGAAAGTTTGAATGATATCCTGTTGAAAGTTGGGTAAATACACAGGTATGTGAAAAATAAAAAGACCAAAGCATAACTCGAATTGGTTGTATTATATTTGAAAGTTTCGCTAGAAAGATAAGACGTGGTGTTCTGGTGTTCCTTGTAGTTTAATTTCATATTTAAATCTTACAGAAAACTTTTTGTGAAAAAACAAAACCATTTTTCACAAAGCAATGGAGACTTATTTTAAGAAAGTGTGCACCTGAGTGCTAATTCCTATTTATTCAATAAAACTACCACCTTATATTTTGCAGGACTTTCAGCCTTTAAACCATATCAAAAATTGTTTAAATAAGATAAGGAAATGTTTTTCACTCCAGTAAGTGACTACAGATAAAATTACAAACAGATGTGTATCAAAAAGATCATTTGATATTCAAGATTATCTTAAATTAACATACATGTAATTGTTTTTATCAATTATTTGCAAAATTGTCAATTTATTTACAATTTTCATCAAATTTCAAGTGGAACCTTTATAAATTCGTTTATAAAATTTTAAGTTAATCAACCCATTTTGAAAAACTATTTTTCACTTTTTTGATAATACATTTTTCAAACAATTTTTGTTGGGCCTGCGACTTCCATCGCAAGTGATCCGGGGACTATGGCGTTAACTAATTACTTGAAAGCTTAATGTTGTAGAAAATAGAAGACCTGGATGCTTCATACTTTGTATATAGATGCCTTATGTTATGAAGTTTCCGTCTGTCGTATATCCATTGTCCTTGACCTCTTTTTCATGGTTCAGTGACTACTATAAAAAAGTTAAGATTGTTTGTAATTTTAATTTCTCTCTAATTGTGGGCAATGGTATAACTATATTTAGTATGTGCGTACATTGCAAGGTCATTATGTCTGTCAGACAAATTTTACTTGACTTCGACCTCATTTTATTGATCAGTGAACAAGGTTAAGGTTTCGTGGTCAAGTCTATATCTCGAATACTATAAGTAAAAGGTATCCTATAGTTGGTGTATGAAATGATTGTAAGGTGCATATGTCAAACTGGCATGTGTAATCTTACCTTGAGCACAGTTTCATGGTTCAGTGGTTGAAGTTAAGTTTTTGTGTTTTGAATACTGTATGCGATAGGCATGATAGGTCAACTGTATTTATCGTATGAACATATTTTACAATGTATATGTCAGTCTGGCAGGTTATATTTGACCATGACCTCATTTTCGCGGTTCATTGTTCAATACTAAGATTTGTTTTTGGTCTATTTGTTTTATACTGTATGTAAAGGGTTAACTATATTTGGTGTATGTAATGATTTTAAAATGTATATGTCTGTCAGGCAGGTATCATCTGACCTTGACCTCATTTTCATGGTTCATTGGTCAATGTTAAGTTTTTCTAGTAAATGTTTGTGTCTTAGATTTTATATGCAATAGGTCAAATGTATTTGATGCATGGAATGATTGTAAGGTATACATGTCTGTTCTTATGCGAAGCTGCATTACAAGAATATCAATCACTCTATAAAATATTGTTCTTCAATTTTAGAAAATAAAACTGGATACATGATTTAGAAGAAAACCGAATAACCCTTGACAAACTCTCAACTGAACCGATGTTATTTTAAGATTAAATGAACAGTATTTGACAAAACACAATTAAATGCCAGTAGGTAATAATTATCTAAAAGCATGACATTAAAATGTCTTTAAAATATGTTTTCCAAGTTAAAAAATTACCATGATAAAATTTAAGGTTTCAAAATTAAATTGTGATTATATACAAGGCTGACAATGAGACAAATAAATAAAAAAAGATATTAAACTTATTTTACATTGACATTTGCTGCTTCTCTGACAAGCACGCACCATTAAGGAGAATAATCGATTGATTGTTCTTTGTTTTCAGTAGCAAATATGTCATGAATGTTCAGGATGAAAACAAATAGATGCAATAACATGAATAGGTGGGTCTTACAATAGGGGTCTACTGGGATGCAGGGCGGTTAATTTAAAATATCATCGGAAAATGAAGGTATATTGAGACTTGCAATAGGAGTTGTAAAAACCCGAGGGTATCATTTAGGAGTAAGAGAAAAGATTGGTTGACTTGGAGTCAAAATAATTTATTCGGGTGAGGTAATATTTCGTGCAGACTGTTACTTTGCGAGTAATAATGTGGAAAATAACTTTTGAATCTAGTCGTTTTAACTTTTTTCTCCATTTTGTTTTGATAAATAGCTTAGACTTTAGAACTGATATGAATGAACTTTGTTGTTAGTACTGACATGTGGATAATTTCATCTTTCAGATAGCAGAATTAAACAGCTGAAATACATGTATGTAATAAGGCATCTGAGATTAAGCAGAGCTTATGTTTACAAAGACAGTTGGAATATTAAAAAAAAGAATTTCTGCTATCTTTTCAATTGATCAAATGTTCTCAAGATTAGGACCAGATATACATTATTTCATAGCTATAGTTTAGCTACAATGTACATAATGAAAACTATTCTCTTACATATGCATATATAAAACATTCAACAACATGTTAAAAATATATAACATTCAACAACATATTAGAAATAAATAACCAAACAATCATGATTTTTATGAATTTTTGAACCAAATAGAGTAACTGGCTTGTTACAAGACTTTTGTAATACGTATCAAAAATGAAAAAAAAACAATGTTCGATGAGGGAGACAGATATGATGCACATTTAAATGTTGGACGTTTGTTATTTTATTTACCTAATGCATGGTCAAGTTATTTTAAATACGCATGAATTTTTATTAGATTTTGCCTCCATAACAATCATATCGCCGGACACGTAAAATATACTAATGTGATCAGAAAATTCTCTGACAGTGTATGTAAAGAGTAAATTTATTTTATAACTCTGTATGGTCAGAAAGTTCTTCATGTATGAATATATACAATAACTTTATTTTACAACTCAGTTGAATCGAATAGGGCTATTAAAGTAAAGAATAAATTTATTTTATAACTCTGGATGGTCTGCAAGTTCTGTGGATGTATAGCATAAATTTATTCTATAACTCTGTTTGCCAAGAAAGTTCTCTGTATGTAAAGAATAAATTTATTGTTCTAACTATGGATAGTCAGAAGGTTCTCTTTATGTATAGAATAAATTTACTTTATAACTCTGGATGGTCTGAAAGTTCTGTGGATGTATAGAATAAATTTATTCTATAACTCTGTTTGCCCCGAAAGTTCTCTGTATGTATACAATAAATTTGTTTTATAATTCTGGATAGTCAGAAAGTTCCATGTATGTATAGAATAAATTTATTCTATAACTCTGTTTGCCCAGAAAGTTCTCTGTATGTATAGAATAAATTTATTTTATAACTCTGTTTGCCTAAAAAGTTCTTTGTATGTATAGAATAAATTTATTATATAACTCTGGATGGTCAGAACGTTCTGTGGATGTATAGAATAAATTTATTCTATGCATTATTGTAAACCGACAAATTTCATTGCAAGGACAACTAAGTATATGGCTCAGAATGAATTTATTTCAAAATGTAACAAACTACATCAATATAACAGTTAATGTCAGGAAATACACGCTAAATAGAATAAAATTATTTCAAGATTTCATTTCTCATGATTTTCAGGGGGGGGGGGGGGGGTTTCCTTTTTTATTCTGGTCTCAGTTATATTTGTGATGAGTTTTTATTTTTAATTTACAAGTGTAATTAATTGCGGCAAAATGATAGTTAAATCGACACCGCATTTTGATACTTAATTTTACTATATTTCAGGCATAGGTAAATAACAATGGCATCATCGAGTAGATATATCTGCTCAAACTGCACGGATGAGGAACATGCAATCACGTGGTGCACAGAATGTGAACATTTTCTTTGTACTGATTGCCAAAAACATCACAAAAGATCAAAGGCCTCTAAAGACCACAAAACAATATCTACTGATGAGTATTGTAATTTACCGAAGTTTATGCGCGAAACGAGCAACCTTTGCAAAGAACATGACAAAAAGTACGATTTTTACTGTTCTGTCCATTCATATCATTGTTGCATTGAATGTATCGCCGATAAACATCAACAGTGTAAGGACTTGAAACCCCTGGCAGACAGTTTAAAAGATGTCAAATTATCTGCTAATATCCCGCTATTGAAAAACAATTTGAAGGATCTGAGTGAAAGTTTCAAAGAGGTACTCCATTACTTAAGAGATAGAATAAAAACAATTAACCATCAAAAAGAAGAAGGAATTACGAAAATCAGAAAAATGCGTCAGTTACTAGATGATCATTTTGACAAATTAGAAAAGCAACTTCTAGATGATTTAGAATCCGACTATTTCAAGTTGAAATCAGACATGGAGGCACTTTTGGAGCAAGTTAATAACCGAGCTAAACGAGTTGATCAATTGCAAGATGATTTTTTTACCATGAACAAATGTGCAACTGAACTGCAAATATATATCGGTCTGAGAGAAATCGAAACCAACACCACGCCAGAATCAACATACTTAGAAGAATTAGACACTGGAAGTCAATTAAATGACAGCAACTTGGAGATCACCGTTTCTTCTGCTTTACAGTCAACTTTACAAGAGGTTAAATCCTTTGGAAATATTTCTATCAAACCAGCACCCAATAACTTCAAAGTTAAGACTGTAGGAAAATATCAAGCTCAGCAGTTGGTTCCAAAAGTTCATGAGATGGAGCATATCAAACCATTTCTGATGAATTCTTTAAGCGTTCCGAATCGTTACATTCTTAATATACCTGCTTGTCAGATATTCCATGATATCAAAAACAAAAAATGTACTTTATTACTTCTTGATCAAAATATGAAGCGCATGATGCAGTTCAGTAGTGAGGGGGTCTTTATTAAACATGTGATGACTTTTACAGATGAACCTCATAATTTGTGCCATATTGAGGGTGATATAGTAGCTGTCACTTTCAGAGGTGTTGAAAAGGTTAAACTGGTCAATGTTGACAAAAATAAAATCAAAAAAGATATACAACTTTCACATCAATGTTTTGGAGTTTCAAGTGATGGAGACGTTTTGGTAATTAGCCATGCAAAGGATAGAAAAATTGTCATACTGAACCATGTGAACTGTGAAGACAAAGACATGCCAGACATGTCAAAGCAAACTTTAGAAGGAATTTGTGTCGACCGTCTTTCTCTTTTCAAAGGTAACATATATGGCACCAACCGTTCTGAAAACAAAGTTTACTGTTATAGAATAACTGGAGAACCTTCATGGACATTTACCAACCAGTACATTAGTCAACCAGAGGGAATTGCTATAGACAGGAACGGATTTGTTTTTATTGCTTCCAATGGAAACAACAGAATCGTTGTCATATCACCAGATGGTAAAACAAGCAAAACAATTCTGAGTGAGGATAATAGAATCAGAGGACCTGGGGCAATAAACATAAACGGAGAAACAGGAATGATGATAGTTTCTAGCTATATTGATGGAGGGGATAGTGCTTTCATTTTCAAAATCTAGCTTGATAAATTACTTAGAGGTTTACAAAAGTAAAATTTGTAAATATGTGAATCAGAATAGAAACAAAAATACAGTTCAGAGGGTTCAGAAAAGGGGTATAAACTTTAAGTTGTTCAAGAATCTCATTTTGATTTTTATCTTTACTTTTCAACTACTTATGGACTGAACTAAAATGTATTTTCTTTCTTTTAATGCATATCTATATATAAAAAATCTATTATCTACATCACTGACATTAGTTGTAAGTAATCTTTATAATAGTTATCTATTTTGTCGTCTGTTGATGTGGTTCGTAAGTGTTTTTCGTTTCTCGTTTTTTACATTTGTATTAGACCGTCGGTTTTCCTGTTTGAATTGTTTTACACTAGTCATGATGGGGCCCTTTATAGCTTGCTGTTCGATGTGAGCGAAGGCTCCGTGTTGAAGGCCGTACATCCTTTACTTTTTACACATTGTGACTTGGATGGAGAGTTCAACTTGTCTCATTGGCACTCATACCACATTTTTCTTATTTCTAATTATTGATAAGCGTTTTACAATTAATTAAAAAAATATTACTGATGACTTCAAATTTGATGTTTTTCAGACATTTTTGTGGAATTTTTGATTTTACCAATTATTAACTGCTCTTTGTGTGTGTAGTGTTTCTCTTATCTGGGCCATAAGCTGAAATCACGTTTTATTTAATTTAGGCAAACTATAAAAAAAGACTCAAAACAAAATAAAACAAACCATATTGTACATTAATTTTTGGTGTATAAAGCAGGGTGTATGGGCTTGAATAAATTCAAAGTAAACATGCAGATTTGTTATACATGTTTTGTACTAAAAATTACAACCCCTGTGGGCAATAAAAACAACAATAACAGCTGTAGTTACCAAATGCAATGATAATCGTTAGTCGAAAAGGGATAGACAACATCACGGCCAATGAAAATTAGTAAAAACAAGAATGTTTTTCAACAAAAAACAACATTGATTCGTAAACAGTAACAGTGTACGACATAACCAAACTCTGAGATGATCTCGGCTACATATGTAGACTAAACCTGGTCAAACCAGGACATCTGCTGTGTTGATATTAACAAGTTGATATGCGGTGAACTCTCGAATTCGTTAATTTTGTAAGCTATCAAATGAACTTGTTGGGATCCCGCTCAAATGTTTTACCCCGCCATATTCTGTATGTATGTGCCAGCTCCAAGTCAGGAGCCTGTAATTCAGTGGTTGTCGTTTGTTTATGTGTTACATATTTGTTTTTCGTTCAATTTTTGTACATAAATTAGGCCGTTAGTTTTCTCGTTTGAATTGTTTTACATTGCCATTTCGGGGCCTTTTATAGCTGACTGTGCGGTATGGGCTTTGCTCATTGTTGAAGGCCGTACGGTGACCTATAGTTGTTAATTTCTGTGTCATTTGGTCTCGTGTGGAGAGTTGTCTCACTGGCAATCATACCACATCTTCTTTTTTTTATTGTCTATACTTGAGGCATAATATATATATATACAATGCTGACAGTACAAACATTTGCTTTTGATTGATGGGACATTGCTTGACAACATTCAGGATTTGAACATCGATATTGATTTTTTTGAAATTTTGAAACAATTTTTTTGAAATTTTGAAACAACTATGTCGAAGAGGATTTGTTTTTTAAATGTCAATTATAGTTCTGTGGATTCAATATTATTCGTGTGATATCAATTTCGTGGAATTCTTGTGTGTAAACACAGCGTAATATTTCTAAAGGCTTGTATGCAGACTGTGGCAAAACCACGAAATCCAATATAAAATAAACATGTTTTCCTCAATCCACAAAAATTGATACACGAAAATAAATGAATCAGGAGAACACAAACGAGGGATAAACTAATATGAAGCAAAGACCAAACGTATTTGGTCGGTGTATGTTTACTTGTTTTTTGTTTAAAAGACTTTTTGATCGAGTTAAGCCATTTCAATTGATATTTTATAGTGTGTCTTTTTATGTTGTAATGTTACACTACTGTTTCAGGTTAGGGTAAAGGTTGGCGCCTGTTAAAACGTCTAAACTCGCTGCATTTGTATGCACCTGTCCTAATTCCGGAGCCTGTTGTTCAGTGGTTGTCGTTTTCATATTTGGTATATAGTCATTAATTAAGATGTTACAAATAGTATTTAAGTATAAAAAAGAAGATGTGGTATGATTGCCAATTAGGCAACTCTCCACAAGAGGCCAAATGACACAGAAATTAACAACTATAGGTCACCGTACGGCCTTCAACAATGAGCAAAGCCCATTGTATATCTGCTAGACCTACTTTTGATTTCATTATCTGCTTAAAATGGTTACGACAATATTTATCTTGATCGTTGCAATACAGAACTAAGTAACTTAGTTATTTCCCTTTTTGATTGTGGATATTAGCTTAAATGTTCGTTTAATTGCCTCACACTAGAAACCGTAGTTTTCAAATGCTTATTCATTAAAATGGAATCACTTTGTCAACAATCAATGATGTTGATGGGATTCTACATCAAACAGAAACACTAATTCGTCCTAGTTTACCCATCATATATACATTTATCATTTTGTATATGTTCACTGTGACGCACATGTTGAAAATCTATTTTAAGCTATCTTAAGTGGGGAAATATAATGAGCCACTCATAAATAGGGGATAATCTATGCAAAACCATAATCAGAACTTACGTAGAATATAAAACTGAGGAGATATGGTAAGATTGTTAAAGAGCCAACTACCCACCAGAGTTGAAACGAACCAGTGGACGAAAGTAAGGTTTTGTTCTGTTGACTACGTGTTGTTGTTATTGAAAAAATAATTATACGAAATTCCGTATTAAGTTGCATTTCAAAAAGGTCTATAGAATCTAAATCCCCTTAGAAGGTATACAATTACGATCTCTCGATGGTCTTGCTTCTTCTGGTGTGATATCGAGACCTGCCTGTTTGAGCTTTCTTACTGAAAATAAACACAGAAAAGCGTTTAGATAATATCATATTGCTAAATGATTATTTTCGTTTCAGGAGAGGAATAAGCTCTTTCTATTATTTCAGTCAGATAACATGTTTCTTGATTTACGCGTTTATTAGACTCTCTATCACTCGGACGACTAACGTTAAACTTAAACAAAAGACCACTAGGTCAATGAGGACTAACTTTCAATCAACTCAACCGAAAGATCTTTTTTAAAGAATGCATTTTTGAGCCGATCAACCTTTAAAGCCATTGTTACTACAGAGTCTACCAGTCAACATACAAGATATGGACCTTTTATGTAGACATCCCTGCCACAATAAAACAGTATTACGATATGACGATTCATAGTCTTTGATCCTGTCACAATATTCTCAATACCGTAAGCGGACTTCCAGTTCGAATATAGTTATATTTAAATTGAAGCTTGCAAAATCGAAAATATTTCATCAGGAATCCAGGTTATGAAGGTGCATTGCATTATACTTGATAAACATGATCAGTCTGAGTTTGAATCGGGCCAACTCACAAGGACTTTCAACCATTCTAAATCTTAATACAAAATAGATTGAAGTAAAAGCTTCACAAGGAAACAGTCCACAGGAAGATACGTTACCCTTCCCGAAAACATAATTGTCTACCCAAGTATAAAATGAGCATCAGAACTTCGTTTAAAAACGTGACACTGTTTTTTTTTTTACACTATGTTTAAAAACTCCATTGAAGACATTGTATCCGTCCGACTGTCAAACCGGTGATAATATGGGTGTGTCTGTCAGTTGACATAACTTGCAGAACCTACCTGTTTTTTTTATCCTGAATTTGCATGAAATGTATTTGCTACTAGACGTAAACAAAACGAAAATCAATAATTTTCTCATTTTATTAGAATTTAATTCCACTTTTGAATAACATTTTGATTTAAGAACATGACGGGGTTTTTTTGCAAACGTTTTACGTGAAATCATGTATGCGAAGTCGTCAATAAATTGAAGGCACTTGAAACTTGTTTGATATGAATGTAAATAGCATCGCAAAAATTCAAATAATCCGTGATATCAAGTTTCACAGTTTTACCTGTCGAACCACACCAAGTACCAAGTTTCATACTGTTTTAACATGTCGAACCACACCAAATACCAAGTTTCATACTGTTTTAACATGTCTAACAACACCAAATATCAAGTTTCACACTGTTTTAACATGTCGAACCACACCAAATATCAAGTTTTACACTGTTTTAATATGTCGAACCACACCAAATATCAAGTTTCACACTGTTTAAAAGTCGAACAACGCAACATTCTAGAGGAGCCTTCCAAAGCCGGGAGTTCGGTTGTCTTTGTTTTATGTCTATGATATTGTTTTCCGTTTATTTTTGTAGCATAAATCAGACGATTGGTTTCTTTGTTTCATTTATTTCACATTTTGTCACTCATGTGCTTGTTTAAGCTTACTATAAAGGTTTTGCTTATTGTTGTTGTACGTCTCATTGCTTGGCAATCATGTCATACATATATCTCCTATCTTTATATCTCAACCAGGAGTATACCATTAATATAATACACACAACTATTTTGTATACAAGGCCACCAATGGGTCTTCAACACAGCGAGAAAATCCAGCACCCGGAGGTGTGCTTCAGCTGGCCCCTATACAATAATGTATACTAGTTCAGGTAATGGACGTCACACTAAAATCTATTTTCCAAATTTTATTTAATAAAACACTAGAGTAAAATGAAGAAAAAGCAAAAAGACAACAATTAAAAACAGGGATAAGCGTAGGTACTTCGGAAAGGCAATTTGTCGGTAAAAAGGTAAAAAGTAGTTCCTACTTACTAGTAACTAGTGGCATTCGGCGTTACCCATACACATCAACCCTGTGATAACTCATACTCAATAATGTCAAAAACGAAAAAAAGGTGAACGGGAATAGTGGCACTGGCAAAAGGAACACTTACCAGGTGTATGATGGGTGCCACATGTGGAGCAGGATCTGCTTGCCCTTCCGCAGTACCTGAGACAACACCCGGTTTATGGTGGGTTTTTTTTGTGTTGCTCAGTCTTCAGTTTTCTATGTTATGTTTTGTATACTGTTGCTTGTCTTTTGGTCGTTTTTCGTTTTTTGCCCTGGCGTTGTCAGTTTGTTTTTGACTCATAAGTTTGAATGTCCCTTTTGGTATCGTTCGCCTCTCTTTTATTAGGTTATCTGTGAATTATTGATTCACTAACAGTCAATCCAATCATGATGTCGACCGGTAATTATCGAAAAGATAACTTCAACTTTATCTTTTAAAACCTTCGGTTTGGTTCAATGATCTTCAATAGCTTTCTTGTCAGCATCATTCATCTATCAGGGAGGGGGGCCTCGGTGGCCGAGTGGTCTAAGTAGTTACTACTGTAATCACTAGCCAGTCAACACTGTGGTTGTGAGTTCGAACCCCGCTCGTGCGGGTGCACTCGACTCCAATCTTAATTGATTAGGATTGTCAGTTTTCCTATCGAAGGTCGGTGGTTTTCTCCGGGCACTCCGGCTTCCTCCACCAATAAAAACTGGCCGCCACGAAATAGCCCAAAAGCGGTGCTTAAAAGTGGCGTTAAAACACCAAAAATCAAAAATCCAAATTCATCTATCAGGGAAATCATGAACCCAAGGCATTTAAAATTGTGTCAACTGGGAGAAATATTATACTCCATATGAACGGGAATCTGGTTAGTTAGTTGCTACATCGATTTGAAATTAAACCTCATAATTGGAAAATTGTACTAAAGTTTTGCTCTAATCGTATTCAACGATATTAACTTGACTGGAACAGATGCGCATTTCGACAATATAATTGATGTCTCTTTAGTGATGCTTGAAGCCAAACTATTTAAAATGACAAAACTTAATATGAATTTTTGCGGTCTTATAAAAACTATTGCAAACCCTGACAAGGAGTCAGAGCTATGCATGCGGATGTTAAACAACAACTTTAAGATATATGTAATAAAATTCTTTATTAATATAAGATTAATATATAAGCAGGGAATGAAAATTTTACCCGTTACAGTAAACCACGTGTTCGTCCATGGATTCGATATTTTGTATCAGACTATAAGCAGACTTACATTAATAGGCCATACAGTAACGTTAAATTGCATTTACCACTTTAAAAACACTAGCTTTTCATTAAACAGTTGAATAAATATTAGAAAGGGAGATTCAGTACTGAAAATTATTCTTGCAATTCCACTCTAAACAAAACAATTGTGAATTGAATTCGTGAAAATTGTAACCACTTGTCATTTCCCACCTTTTTAAAAAATTCGTAAGGGTTCCGCGAAACCCAGTGTCTCGCCTATTTTTGCTGTTAATCACAGGCTCAACAAAAATGAGGAACAAAATCAATAAAAATATTCCTTTAGATACTATCTTTTGATTGTAAGAAGCTTCTGTCAAAGTTTGGTATAAATCCAGGATAGTTTATGAATCTAATAAATGTTTTAAAAACTTTAACTGCAGACTGTATTTAATGTTAACTGGAAGAAAAAATAAGTCCATTTTTAAGTAAAATACGGATAAACAGGTACAAAATTTTAACAAATTTACTTCTGGATACTATCTTAATATGATCATAAACAAGCTTCTGTCCAAGTTTGGTACAAATCCAGGATAGTTTAAGAAAGTTATTAAAATTTTAAAAACTTTAACCACAGAGTGAATGTAATGTTTCCCGGCAGAAAAACTAAGTCCATTTACAAGTAAAATACGGAAAAACAGGAATTTTATTTTTACAAAATTTACTTCTGGATACTTTCTTATGATCATAAACAAGCTTCTGTCCAAGTGTGGTAGAAATCCAGGATAGTTTAAGAAAGTTATTAAAATTTCAAAAACTTTAACCACAGAGTGACGACGACGCCGACGGAATGTAGGATCGCTATGTCTCGCTTTTTCGACTAAAGTCGAAGGCTCGACAAAAATGAAATTTTAATATCAAAATAGTCAGCATTTACATCTTTGAACTCTAAAATTTCACATAAATTTCGTCCAACAGACTATAGATTGTTTATCTTGGACATCCCTTTCCAATGACTTCCCGTTGGGTTTTAGAAATGTTGCCGAGTTCCTCTGCAAAATTACATAAATTCAATACCAGATACTTGTCTTCTTTGTCGACTGAAAAAAAGAAAGAAAAAGATATAAAAATTGATTGAAAATATGATATGTGTAATAACACCAGAATGTCCACACCTCCTTAGCGACAATTGTTTTAGAAACAATTTTCATGTCTTATTTAAAAAAAAATATTAATACACTTTCATTTGGGCAAAAAAGATTTGATTTTTTAGACTTAAATGGGACACTTTAAGAAATTACTTAATATTCAAGATTTTTTCGTGTCAAGTTCATATTCATAGGTTTTCATAACAAGTGAGATTTGAATCTCGCTTAATATAAACTTAGTTATTTAATTTAAAAATAATAATAAACTAGCTATAGCCCGGGGTGGAGGATTTTGAAATTTAACAATTGTGTAAAAGAGTGCAAAATCCGCTAACAAATATACATACCGGAAAGAACATATTTATGCCTTTCAAACAACACAATATCTGAGTGGCACATTTGGTCAGGCACTGGCATATACAGATTTAATTCAACATCTTTGTTTTTATCATCTTTGTTTGGTAGTCCACCTATTCCATCTAAATTGCCCTGATAAAAAATATATAAGAGAAAAATATAATTAAGTTCTCATAGTAAAAAATTGTATTGCTCTCTTAAAAGAATTTTTATTTCTTTAATTCATTTGAAAGTTAAAATGATGAAAATGTGTTCTAAGTTTTAATTTACAATGAAAACAATTTCTCCATTAAAAATATTTTAACTGTTGACTGCCGCGTACCGATACATATGTCGCCTACATAGAAACGATATAGGATAAAATGTCTACTGCAAAATGTAACCCTGTTAACTAGAATTTTTAAAATTCGACTCAGTGTTTCTGTCTAGTACACGGCAGTGTTCATATACAAATCACATCAACATATTCTCGTCCTGAGTGTGCATTTAACTTGCTACTGGACGGTACACAGCCAGCCATCAATCCATTCATTAATTCATCTTGATCCCATTTACCTTACTTTAGATAATATTTATTTTAATAACGGTGGAAATGACAAGAAAGTTAAACCAGATAGACTTTATTAAGTTTTAAACTAGGTACGGATCTTCTTTTCCAACCTAAAATTATTTTCTTCACAACAAAAGCGCGCCAATTTTCAGTTGACGTCGGATGGCGCAAAATAGTCAAATTTTTGCGCGTGTGACTTCTGAGCAACGCAGAATCAGGGACTTTCCGATTGTTCTACTCCGACGATTAAAAGCAATGAAGCTACTAAATAAACAGTCATATGTTAATTATGACATGTACTATTACTAACGTCAAGGCATATTTAGTTAATTAATTGAGAAGGAATGGTGAAAAAAAGCACAAGAAGATGTGATAGTTTAAAAAATTAGGCTATTAAAATATTTGCATAACAAAAATAAATCCTCCAGTCATCTGATATAACATTAAAGATCAAAGGGACCGTGAACAACAGAGGAACTCTTCAAGATACGTCTCAAGAGCAGACAAGCTTTTTAAAAAGCTTATACATGTGATTAACTTACCCTGAGCGGTTGATGATAGACACTAGCGGATTTAGGGGGGTTTGGGGGGGGGGGTCGCAAAACCCCCCCGCTTGAAAATCTTTAAATTTTTTTTGTATTAACCATTTCTTGTTTTAATGTTATCTTTACTATAAATTGAATATCCAGCACTGAATAGGGACACGTTGTCGCTACACTCCATTAAATATACACATATCATAATTACATTGGCCTTAGGGGAACTTAATTGATAATTAGAGGATCAAAGAATTTAATTAAGACAATCCAAGGCTGCTATCCCTATATGTTATTACTTTGTTGGTTTTATGATTAAAACGACGCTTTCTGTTAACTTGATTTGAAGAAAAAACAAACTTTTTCACCCTATCATATCCATAAGATTTTTTTATTAGAAATGACACCTGCTGAATCTAAGAATATTGCAAACTTCATTTCCACATCTGTACCTAGTGCTCAAATGTATAGGCTTAGCATTCTAAATGAAAACTGGAATCCACCTAGTTTTTTTTCCTTTTAATAAGCGAGAAATGTCCTGGTTAAAAAGATGCTTCAAAAATGCGTGGCTGCACTATTTCCCATGCATTGTCTATTCAACTTCACAGGACGGAATTTAATGCAAATTTTGCGTTTTGTTCCGTACTGACGACAACCCCGGACAGTTTGTTAAAAAAAAAACGTTCACAATAGGGGTAAAGCAACTAGTGAATGTTAATCTAAAAAAAAAACCAAAAACACCAGCCTTATTAAGTTCACAAGACTTCACCAACACACATGATAAGACGGCTAGAGGATTAGATGCAAGGGCTGATACAGCATTTGCAAAACGGGTGGATACAATCTGTAATTAAATAATTAAACTAATCCAAAAAGTTTATTTTGAGTAACCCTATGCCGAACAAAAAGTGTGCCAATTATTGAAAAACACATATGGTTTGGTTTAATAAGAATACTTCTCTAATGTTCAAAAACATTTCTCACAACCCCCCCCCCCCCCCCCCCCCCCGCTTTAAGCTCTGGATCCGCGCCTGATAGATCTAGAAGTTTGACATTGAATACTAGAAACCCTTCCGGTACGTCTTTTACATGTGATTAACTTACCCTGAGCGGTTGACCTAGGAGTTTGACCTTGAACACTAGAAACCCTTCCGGTCCGTCTCTTACATTCTCTACTAGAACTGATATTACTGTTAAAATAAAATAGCACATGTTTCATATTAGTTTACTAATGTTTGAGCTTCGCGTAAAATTCTAATAATTATTTACTTGAGTATACACATGTACTACTAGTTATGAATGTAAGCCAGGGACTACACATGTACACATTGGTAGGCAACAGTAAGATAAAAAAAAATAAAGGCTCGAAAGATTAAACTACAATGTATACCCTCTTTTGTGGTCCATCGATCAGACAAACAAAATATTCAAATGTTAATACTGCAATGTTCCCAGATAAACACATAAGTTTAAGTTGTATGCTCTGAAATAGTTAGTATACTGCATAATTTACTAAAAAAGAAAACATTTCTGGTTTCCCCCTCCTCCTCAAAATACTTTGTATATTTTGTCTTTATCTGTCAATCTTAACATGCTTTTCCTAGCCATGTTAACAGCAGATACGCCTGCTAAGAAAATCATGTTACAGCCGATTTCAATGAGTGTGTAGGCAAAAGTAATATGTTTGGTTAGCTTGCTTGCTAGCTGAACCGTGAAGTCATAGTTAGGTAAGGTATACTACCCTCCTTTCAAAGTAGCTTAGTCCTACAGACAGATAGATTATCTGTCGGACTAGTCTACTCTTAAAGGATGGTAGTTTACCTAACCTAACGATGACTTCACGGTTCAGCTAGCAAGCAAGCTAACCAAAGATATTACCTTTGCCTACACACTCATTGAAATCGGCTGTAAACGTATATATTTGTTTATCCGTGATTGTTCAAGTTGTAATTAATGAATCTGGGCGAGTTAGAGCTTGACGTACTGTAAAGACGCCTGTCTATTGTCGGAAACTGTATGTTGATCGAGAGTGCTACCCTGTGCTGGATTGATTGATTGATGGTATTTAACGCAACTTTCAACACTCTTCGCTATATACTGACTTCCGGTTCGTGTTGCTCAGGCTTTAGTTTTCCATCTTGTGTTTTGTGTACTGTTGTTTCTCTGTTGGTCTTTTTCTTTTTAGCCACGGCGTTGTCAGTTTATTTATGAGTTTGAATGTCCCTTTGGTATCTTTCGGCTATTTTTTGTCCTCTATATAAACCCTACATCTACTTTTATCATACCATGTACACCATTGTAGAAAAGAGAAAACTTCAGTTACATGAAACATGTACAGGTATGTGTTGAAGATACCTGTTATACATGTATCTTTAGTTACATGTAAATGGACATTTAATCTGCCACAAATCAATTCCCCTTTGTCTCATTGATGTATAACCCTCACCTTCTAAGTGACCACCTCGGTGGTCTCGGGTTATTGTGCTTGTCTCAAGTGAGGAAGGTTATGGTTTTGATCCAAGTCTGGGTCGAACCAAATTGGTATTTGCTGCTTCTCTGTCAACCCCGCGCATTTAGGAGTAAAAGCAAAAGACTGGTCGTCTTTGAGTCAAAATAATGTATCGTTGTATGGTTACAAATCTTCCTGCGGATAATAACCTCATGAATAAAAGAACACAGTTCCAATGTTCCCCGCGGTGCACATATTTTATCTGCCAAAGGACAATAACTAAATAAAACTTTTACCTTAAATGGATTTGGTTATTATTTATGTTTTTTGGTCATATAGCTCAACAAATGTGTCGGTTCTTATACTGCTTGACTTCTAAATATTCGGCTTTGAGCGTTCCTGATGAAGGTAAATCCAGAAAAGCGCTTCGGACGAATGAAATTTATTGAGTGTTGTTTTCATTTTTTTTTTTTTTTATGATTTTATGCTAACAATGATATATTTTCCAATCAAAAGGGGTTGGCGTACGTTCTACACGCCCCCTCTGAATCCGCCAATGTTCTAAGCTTTTTTAGCCAATGCCAGATTTTCTTTGTCTGGGGCATTGTGGGATAAAATTAGGTTGATTATTTAGGGAATCACTGAAGCATGACTGGAGCAGGCCACCTCTTAGGCATTCAGTGGGCCCCCTTATGAAAATTTCTGGATCCGCCACTGCCACTGTAACATGGTAGAGGGCATTTGGCACCCGCTAACATGTTTATTCCCACCACATTATGTAGTACCTGTCCCAAGTCAGGATTCAGTGGATGTCGTTTGTTGCTGTATATCAGTTGTTTTGTGTTTATTGGTTTGTACATAAATCATGCCGCACGTTTTCTCGTTTGAATTGTTAAAGTTATATTTGCCATTTCGGGACCCTTTTTAGATTTCTATGCCGTATGGATTTTTTCATTGTTGGAAGGCCATATGGTGACCTATAGTTGCTAACTTGGACGTCATTTGATCTCCGGTGTAGATTTGTTTCATTGGCAATCACACCACTGAAATATTCTTATTTTCTATACGAGTTTAAATAGGGTAGGTAGGGTTAGCATAAGTATTTTATGAGGCTTTAATGTTTATGATTAAAGATCTGCCAGCGACACCATTGACTTACTTGTTTCTGCTGCACACAAGTTTCCAGTAATTTCTTCCCCATTGATGTAAATAGGGTCATCTTTACAATCACACTGCTCAGATGATTTAACTATGGACGCCAGTAGTATAATAATATTGAGTATTTTCATTCTCTGAAATTAGTACCTGAAACGAAATACAATCATGTGACATTATGTGTTAAATATTCAGTATTATCGTTATCACGTGCATAATAGGGTAGCAACAACAAACAATTATACCAGTATAGAGGGGCCTGATGGGTTATTTTCGTTCTTCGTGATCGGCGCATTTTCGCTATCGTGATCCGTTTTTCTACAGATTTTTTTTTTTTTATATTTTCGTGATCCGTGATCATGGAAATTTATTTTCTGTGAATCGTGAAAGACAAAAAAATCAACTCATGAATCGTGATGAGACCCCCCCCCCCCCCATGTAATGTTGTATAATATATTATTGAGATACTAAACTTAAATAATATATTAAGTTGAATTGAAATTGAATTGTAAAAAGATTTAACTAATTAACCAAATTAAATGAATTTAAAACATACGAAAATCGAAGAGAAGAAATTGTTATATCACAATATTTTAATATAATTTCATAGCATACTCGGTAAATAATACATTTTAATATGTGATTTATTCTTATTTCTGAACTAAATACAGGTAAAGGAGAAGGTCCGGTAATGGCTTATTTTGGCCTAAAATTAGAATTTCATCTGTTCAAAGATTTTTGACATTTTTTAAACAAGAAAGTGTCTTAATTCTTCAGTCGATTCAATTAGTTTATGTAAACGATTTTGACTCTATTAAATATGCCCAAAAACGTCACTTTTCAGATGGTTTTTGTCTAGAATGGAAGTGGCCGCATTCTTGTTCAGTCTCATCCTTCATATATGTTATGCATCATCATCAAATACAACATATATTTAAATATTAAGACTGAACACAAGGGCGGCCACTTCCATTTTAGACAAAAACCGTCTAAAAATTAGCACAAATGCTAAAATTATGAAGATTTCAGTAATTTTGCATGAATTAATGATGCTAGTACCTGATACATGTGCAGTGCAATGTCAAAAACAGCCCATATTTATCAATATGTAACAAAAGTATTCCTCTTTCCAATAAATAGCTAAAAGTTTACATTTTTAACAAATTTTTGAAATGCTATATTTTGGTGCCAAAAAGGGGTCTTACCGGGCCTACTCCTTTACTAGCAATGAACAGAAATGTCCTAAAAAGCAATGTGCTTAAATAGTTATATAATCTTTAAAAGATTTAAATTTCAAATTTGTTTTTCTTTTTTACCATATAATTTATTATATATTATAAAAAAAATGGCAATTCATTATCTTACTATAACAACTTAGACAAAATGTTAATATAAATAGCATTTGCCGATTGAGACTGGCAGATGGAATGGAATTACAACAGATTGGAAATTATGCGACAATCGTGAAGTAGACGACATCGGGGACGAATATCATTATATCTTGTTATGCATTGAATGGTGATTGAACAAAGAATGTATCTGCTTACTATTGTACAACCCAAACCAGAATACCTGCAAATCTGATCTATTATTTACTTCTTCAAACAACTTTGTGCTTGAAAAACTAATTTTTTAATTGAGAAAATAAGTCCTTAAAGCTAATTGTTTTTTTAGTTGTTCTTCACGTGTACATAATTCACACATGCATATAACATTTGTACTATAGTTATATGTCTCCCAGTTGATGCGATATTTCAGAGCTTGCGTATCCGATCACGATTTCCTCAAGGATTCAAATTGGTTAAGTTGAAGTCATTCCTGGAAAATATTACGAACGCCATCACGAGTTGGTTGACCGTTATATATGGAATATTTGTGTCACAGATGACCACGTATATGTTCCGATTTCGTTACAACAAATTAGTCTTTTCCACTATTGTGACATCACCAAATGAGACATAATAATCATCGGATTTGTACGTGTATGAGCAACACGACTTATCCTTCCAGTGCACATGAGATCACCCCCGGTTTTGTGTTGGGTTCGTGTTCCTCAATTGTTAGCTTTGTATGTAATGTTCGGTGAACTTGTTCGTCTTTTCGTCGTTTTTTCGTTTTTTTTTTGCCATGATATGGTCAGTTTTACTTCGACTTATGAGTTTTGAATGTCTATTTGGTATCTTCCGCCTCTACTGAGTTTAATTTTGAACTCCTTACTCCTCTGTTAACAACATTTTTGTCTGAGTTGATGTTGTCGGAATGTCTGTCTATTTTGCAGCATAAAGATAGTCGTCATGAATAAAAAAAATCGTCTATTCATACTGGGTTGATTTGCTTACAATCAAAACTACATATGTAGCCTCGGGGTAGGTTTTATTGTTTTTCATCGTCTACCAGTGTATTTTTAATTTCATAACAAGTTTTATTTAAAAAAAACGGATTGTGTGAATTCGGTGCACCATTCAGAAAAAAATGTCCAGACCATATACAAACCTGTTTATGCAAAGTTTTTTCTGTTTATAGCTTTGATCCACTCGATTTGTTGGCTCGTCAGAGGCATCAAATGAGACGTATACATGTTATATGGAATCAAACAAGGGCAGTCATTGTGCAACTCTTTGTGTAATTCAAATATTGATTTTTTTTCCACATCTACGATTATTTGTACAACTATTAACTGCACAAGAAATGTTCAACCTTTTTTTAAATAGATTTCGGCAGTATCCATAGTGAAATAAATCAGAAAATGAAAGAAAAACAAATGTAAACAGAAAATCGATAATGTTTTGATCAATACACACGTGTGCGTTATTTTTCACGGTTGTAATGTAAACGGTCACGAGAGAGGTTAATGGATGCGCCCATGTTTTCTAGGTCAATTATAGATAAACCCGTTTATTGATCATGTCTATAGTTTATGAAAATTTGAGAGTTTATTTATTCACTTGTGATTTAACTGGATACTGAAACCAAAAAGAAAAAAATTGTAATAACAACATCAGTTATTCTACTGTTCTTTCCATGTTGAAAAATTTGGTAAATTCACAATGTCGCAAAAACCAGAACACAAATACCGTATTGACCAAGCTGTTGGTCGACACTTCTTTAACCCGGCATTATACTCGATAACTAAGGGCTTAAACAAAAATCGTTTGAAAATTGTTACAATTTCAATAATTTTCAAATACAATGGAATCCTATAAGTATCCATCTAGCTTTACAAATAATTTAAGATCTTATTTTGCAAAATAAAAAAAAAATCATCTTAAATGTGGAAAAACAATTTTTTTAAGAAGCTTTTTTTTTGGTCAAACCAACTGCTATTTAAAGAACTTTTTAGCGAAAATGTAAAATAGCAACAGTAAAATTATTTACCCTGTTTAGGAATCTGTGTTGTTTTTGTCCTTCTGTCGACCTAACAGGATATTAACAACATCCGATTTTGTACATTATACTATGATAACACTCACTTTTATAGAGTGATAATTTATTTGAGATTTCCCGATATCGTAATTCACACATATTTAAAGGTCGAGTATAACACAAAGAACCATTTACAAATGAACAGTAACTGTTGCTGACTTTGGAATTAAACGGAGTCAATACAATGGCCCATGATAATCGTTAAGAAATGACAAAGACGGCTATCATTTTGGGTCAAACTCGGTTGTTTTTCTCATTGCAGTTTTTAGCGAAAGTCCAAATTCATTGTCAGTTGTTTCTGTTCTTTATGTCGATCCAACAGATTATTAGCAACATCCAATTTGTAAATTATTATACCGTATATACATGATATAACTACACCATGAATACAGTGATAATTTTTATTTACAGATAATTTACACGTTTAAATGCCAATAACATTAGAATCATTTACAAATGTACAGGTTACAATGGCCGTGGAAATTGTTGGCGAGCGACTGTGTTTTCTGCATTGGGGTCTCAACCTATATATACAAATTTGGGCATTGAGGTCCGGCTGGGGTTTGATAAACACCCTTATTCATATACAGTGTATTGAGTTTTGCGAAAATCCCTACCCTTTCATATATTTCATAAGAAAATCACAACCACTTATATACATGATATATTTCCCAGCTAGTATATATGATATCTTATTTCAATGAGATGTTAACCATATGGGATCCGTGATTTAAATTATGAGACAAAAAGATCAGAACACAGTGTTTACAGACATCTTAACAGAAGAGGAACATGTATGACCCATCGACATAAAAATGTCTACCAATTGATATATTCCTCCGTGAAATTGCACCTCATTGATATATTTGACATTCCAAAAAAGTTATCCATACCAGCGGCACGTCTATGTATACCCCGTGGTTTTCTACTCTGTTCGATAAATGCGTCAAAGGAATGCTTTTTTTTTTAATCATTCCACCGATCTGTTACACTTCTGAAGCACCTGAGATCCCCATTAAGGTCCTGTTCAAAAGTATTCTTCAGAATACAGTAAACATGGTAAAAAAAAAGAAAAAAAGAGTTTGTATACGGTGCAAAATTGTATTACAGGTACTCTTTACCATGTTTACCAATACAATTAAATTGTTGATAGTGCAATAATAATTAGCACAATATACAGATACTCACATAAAGATAAATCATGTTAAACATTTAAAAGTCATTCTTTGATTTATTTATGATGATTCATTTTATCTAAAATTGAAGTCGTTGAGAAATAAAAAAAAAATTGCCATTGGTTAGGAAATTTGTCAGGGTACAGTTGATTTTGGTCTGAGCACGGTTTTTCACCTTTACAAAAACAAATATTTATTACAATATGTTTTTTCAAATAATAAAACGTGTAAATGTGATGTGATTGCCAATAAAACAACTTCAACAATTAGCGAACTCATGAACCAATATGCCACAATATGAACCAAATCAAATTAAGAACCAACTGTCTGATTTATGACAAAACAATAATATTTCTGCATACTTCTTTTAATTCTGTATACTATATGACTATAAAATATTATACATGTAACCGGAGAGCATGATAATATAATAATAATAATAATAATTTTATTCAAAGAGGTGACTCAATTAACATTCAATACTCTACCTCGAGGCCGTCGCAAAAAACATACAGAACAAGTATTACGAATGTCATATATTTTAACATATAATTCAACTTTCACACTATTAACATGATATTGTATTTTCTTATTAGAAAATCGCTTTGTTTCCTCCGAGACCTCTGTGTTACAACGCTCTAACCGAGTATTTCGCTAGCTCAACCGCTTATTTACTATGCAAGGGAATCAATCTCGTTACACACTATAGAAGAAACAAAATAATTTAAGTGCAACATGTTCTTTTAAATCTATTACTTATTGTCGTGTAAACCATGTAAACCAAGAACATTTGGGATACATATATGCAGTAAATTTAGAATAATGTTATATACGTCCCTCCGTTCTCAATAAATCCTGGCCTTCCATAGAAAACACAACACATACAATTTAAAAAATGTCAATGTGTATCATATCATTATTCTGTAAATAATATCAAAGGGATGTCATAAAATGATTACACAATACTCACTAAGTTGCGAAGATTGATCAACATTACCGATTGATATCCATAGATCTTAATAATAACAGATTAATTGATAAGGTTGTAACATATTTTACATTGAAGATTTGTTTACAAGATGACGTAGCAGGTAAATATGTATGGCAAACAGTAAGCGTCATTAAATGATCTTCGAAGGAAGAACCTATATCAACAACCTCGATTATCTTATCGACATTCCAAAATCTATTTTGAAGGGAGAATTATATTTTTAAGAATTCAATTCAAATGAAATCTTTAATGCCAATAAAATAATGTCACAGTGATATTGCTTGACAATTTGAATGGAAAAAAAAAATGTTATACATTGTGTGATTAAATTTATTGACTCTGTCATTTGCTTTACGTCCAGTATTTAAAATCATGAATAGATAGGCGATCCATCTGCCATGTGATACAAGTTATAATAACAGTACAATTTAGGAGTTGTAATTGTGAATTACAATGCAGGGGTGTGGAAATAATCGCGTTTGTGTCATATACATATTCATGAAGTTTTCCGTAATCCGTGTAGTGACAAGTCCTATAATATAAGCCTTCGTAGGTCCATATCATTAGCATTTTAAAGTTTTTTTTTATCGGATATTTGTTTACTTTGAATGCTGAACGATTAATTTCTTTACCGAAAGATCTGAGCATACATGTAGTCACCGAAAATGATCATTGAGGGAGAGCTGTTTTACTGGTCCAAATGTATTTTACTCGAAAGGTAAGAATATGCTCTTTGGTCGGGTTGTTGTCTCTTTGACATATTCCCCATTTCCATTCTGAATTTTATATTGCATAGAACTGTAATTCACAAATACACTATTGATAATGCTAAGTACGATGGGAAAATAGATTAAAAAGATGAAAGAATCATGATACCTGCACGAACTTTCAGTTTTCCAGCAAATGGCGTCTCCATGGTAGCGGTCAATCAAATTAAAATGGACATTTGAAAAGAGATGACATTACGGAACATTTGAAATAAAATCAATAAATTATCGTTAGAAATTGCACATAATATATAGTATATAAGAATTGAATGCTTTTTTTTGTAAATTTATTTAAGAATTGAATGCTTCTTTTTGTAACTTCATTGGGGTGTAAAAGCGTTGACCGAAGTACATTTGGTATGAAGCGCGGAAGCGCTTCATTCTAAAAATGTGCGCACGGTCAACGCTTTTACAACCCTATGAAGTTACAAAAAGAAGCATTCAATACTTATAATTACATTTTTTTTAGCTAAGATCATGAAAACACGATTTTTATCAAGTTTTTATTTAATTTACCTGTGCACTTTATTGTGGGACCTCGTGTCATCATGAATAATAAATTTTATTGTGTAATGAAGTTGATTAAGGAATAACGCGAGATTGCAGTGTAGTCAATCAGAATAACTTATTATAATGAAACATACATCTATGACCGAAGTACATTTTGTATTTTCCGCGCTTCATTCTAAATATGTGCGCACGGTTAACGCTTTTACAACCATAAAAAATTACTAAAAGAAGCATTGAATACTTATAATTACATTTTTTGTTTTGCTAGGATCATGAAAACACAATTTCTATCAAGTTTTTCTTTTATTTACCTTTGCACTTTTTTGTTGAGACTCGTATCATCATGAATATTACAATTCATTTTGAAACGAAGATTAATTTCAAAAAGACGCGAGATTGATTTTAGCCAATCAAAATAACGTATTATAATGAAACATACATGTAATGTAATTATAAATTGGTAAAAGAACGTAAATCAATATTGTCTCGGTTAACTTAATTTCAACAAAACTAAATAGCGTTAGAATTTGCAAAATGTACAATTTCGTTTTATGGGCCTCAGTGGCAGAATGTTCTGAGTAATTTACTGTATCACTAGCCTGTCAATACTGAGGTTGTGTGTTCGATCCCCTCACATAGCAGGTGCGTTCAATTCCAATGATTGTCAGTGTTCCTTTCCGGGCATTACGGCTTCCTCCACTAATAAAAACTGACCACCATGGTATAGCAATAGTGCTGGAAATGGTGTTAAACACCATCAATCAATCGGCATCGCTTAATTTATGATGTGAATTAACTCTTGTATCAGATGATATTAAACTGTCGTTTTGTGTATTTCAAAACTCAAATATTTCTATCCAAAATAACAATACGAGTTACTTGTATATTACTCGTGTTATATTATACCGTTGTTCATCCTGTTGGTTAAAAAAGTATTTATAAATTTACAGTATACAAATAAGGAGTTGTGGTATAATTGCAAATGAGACAACTATCAACCAGAGACCAAAGGACGAGAATGTAATTAAACCCTCCAGTCACCGTACGTCCTTCAGAAATGAGCAACACCGATACCGTATAGATAGCTATAAAAAGGATCGACATGAAAAAATGGTCAAACAATTCAAAAGAATTTATTATATCAATTATAAACAAAAAACATAAACTCGTGCTTAACCTTAAACACTGGTGTAATAGCATAACACAAGAACACACGGTAAAAGTCAGTTTGGAAGGGCCTTTCTCGTGCATCAGATCCGCACTAGACGAACCAACTTACAAAAAGACAAAAGACGTGCACAAAGTACCGACCTTAGGTTACTCGCAGTTTCTGAAAGCTAGATCAAATCCCAATTTCAAGTAATAAATAAATCATATTTACGAAGATTAAAATATCAAGTATTAAACCTGTTTTATTCTCCCTGAAACTCATGGTCTTTGGTAGGGGACGTGACAAGGCATTCCATTTAACTCTCATGGAAGACAAGCTATTATATGTTTTCGTCCCCTGCATCTTTTTTTTTTTAGCTCACCTGGCCCAAAAGACCAAGTGAGCTTTTCGCATCAATTCGTGTCCGTCGTCGTCCGTCGGCGTACGTAAACTTTGTACAAATATCTTCTCATCTGAAACCGCTGGTCCAAATTTGAAAAAATTGGCTACGATCATCATTTGGGTATCTAGTTTAAAATATGTGTCCGACGACCCGCCTGCGAACCAACATGACCCTCAATATGTTCTTTTGAATTTTTGTTGTTGTTGGGTTGTTGTATCATTTATGTATACCCCACATCTCCTTTATTCGCATGGAATAAATAAATGAATTAATAGATGAATAACTTTTTATTATTAATTACATTACATGTATGTTTCAATGAAATACGTTATTTTGATTGGCTGACAGCAATCTCGCGTCATTCTGAAATTAACATTCATTTCAATATGAAATGTAACCTTCATGATGACACGATCTTTCACAATAAAGTGCAAAGGTAAATAAAAGAAAAACTTGATAGAAATCGTTTGTTCATGATCATAGCAAAAAAATGTAATTATAAGTATTGAATGCTTCTTTTATTAATTTTATAGGGTTGTAAAAGCGTTGACCGTGCGCACATTTTTAAAATGTACTTCGGTCAACGCTTTTACACCCCAATAAATTTACAAAAAGAAGCATTCAGTTTTTAATTAATGAACAATAAACATATTCCATCAATTTGTGTAGTTAAAAAATTAATACACATAACATCTAAAATTTTAACAAATTTGCATACTGCAGATGTTTTTCGCAATATTTTCTATCAACTTATTGGAACTTACTCAAAACACCTTTGTTCTTAAAACCAGTAGCTGCAATTTTCATTCCATGAATTTCTACTTTGTATCATGAATGAATCATTCCTTTTCCGAGGAAGAAGCGCTGGTTCCCTGCATTAAAGAGAGTTTGGATTTAAAATATGTTCATTGGAGATAATCCTATTCCAAGAAAGTAGCACTGGTTCCATGCATTGAAAACCGTTTGACTAAAGAATCACGTCCTGATAGTTGTTCTGGCTCACTGAAAGACTCGTTATATGGGGGAAAGGGGGGCAAATATATTAGTATCCAAAATATTAAGACCATAATGTACAAAGATTTTCAGCCGTATATTGAAATTGGTTAACAACTTTTTATAATTAAATACACCACATTTTACTGACTATTAATATAGGAAAATACATGGTAAATAAACCGGGGAAAAGAAGAACTGCTACACTGCTTGTATAATTACCATTGAAAGTTGTTTTATTAACTCGGCAAGTTTCGACATTGATTGAAAGAGATTCTATCGTTTTTAAAGCAGATGCAAAGATACCTTCAATCATCTTAATTGGAAATAATATCATTGAAGCACCTTTGTCTTAAGATAATATCGATTACATGCCAATGTGAATTTAACAGTTTTTTAAAGTCTGCATTGAAAAAATTGTTTGACAAATGTTTTTTATGGAATTCGATCTTAAATATATACGTTGAACTTTAATTTGATAATGAATTTTTCAATGATATATTTCATCTACTTTTAACATTTTACTCTTTATTGCAGCAAAACAGTGTTACTAACACTCATGATAGAATAAATTCAGGATTCAGGAATTGACTATTTAAACAGCTATAAAAAAATGCAGATGCATAATATTAAAAAATCATTTTCAATCTTCTGAACTGGAAAAAGATCATCAACGCATCTTTGTTCCATAAATAGTATAAAATACACAAATAGTTACAATACTTTCTTCATAAAATAATTCATTGGAATAACCTAACTGTAAACAGATTACAGCACTTAATATTCAATTTTAATTACATAACTTGATCTATAAATTAACTGGTCTCAGTTAATAGAAACTATAATTGGACTAATCATACAACTTTTCGTTAATAAAACAACAACAAAAACCAAAAACGATTTGTTCAATAGAAAATAAGGAGATGTGGTATGATTGCCAATGAGACAACTATCCACTAAAATTCAAATGAAGTAGATGTAAGGGAACGACCATTTAACTTCAGGGGGGGGGGGGGGGGGGGGGGGGAATTATGGGTTTTTCCTAAAAAAATATTCTGATCCCCAATTTGATGAAATAAAATATTGTGGTCAAGCAGATGACAAAAATATTCTGAATCCAGATTTTCCCCATACCTTATAGTGTTAAATTTTGAAGAAAAAAAATTAATTGATTGATAACGTCGAAAAACTAAAAAAAAAAAATTCTGACTCAGACAAAAAAACCATAACCCCCCTTGAAGTTAAATGGTTTCTCCCTAAGCAATTATAGACAACCGTACGGCCTTCAAAAAAGTGGCTTTTCTTAAAAGTTTTGTAAACGCAATACACCAATAGTATATCTTCCTTTTGCAATAAAGAAAGTTACATCAATATAAAAAACACTAACATAATCTCTATCATAAAGCAGACGCAAAGATACCTTCAATCATCTCAATTGGAAATAATATCATTAAAGCATCATTGTCGTAAGATAATATCTATTTCATTGTCGTAAAATAATATCGACTATGTGCCAATGTAAATGTTCGTTGTCGTAAAATAATATCGACTATATGCCAATGTGAATGTTCGTTGTCGTAAAATAATATCGATTACATGCCAATGTGAATGTTCGTTGTCGTAAAATAATATCGACTATATGCCAATGTGAATGTTCGTTGTCGTAAAATAATATCGACTATATGCCAATGTAAATGTTCGTTGTCGTAAAATAATATCGACTATATGCCAATGTAAATGTTCGTTGTCGTAAAATAATATCGACTATATGCCAATGTGAATGTTCGTTGTCGTAAAATAATATCGATTACATGCCAATGTAATTGAAAGTGTTTTCAATATTCTGTATTGGAAAACGCAACCTTAACATTTTTGTTTATAAAAATAAAAAAAAGGTATAAAAAGGACAATGCAGACGCACATCACAACTTTGTCATTCTTTTTAAATGGAAAAAGATTATTTTGCGCCTTTGTTCCATAAAATGCATTAAAAATAAATACCTGGTTATTTAGATCTCATTTCAACGTGCTCGACTCGAGCGCGGGTTGTAGTACTACAATTGAGTAAAATAATCTCTCAAAATTATGCACATTTTTTTTTAATAGAAAAAAAAAAATCATTCGTGAGACGACGAAACTTTTGCTAAGTTTGAATACTAGTATTTGTTTATTTGGTAATATTCTCACTGATAAGTATTCACAATAGAAATACAAGTTTTCCCTATATTTTTTCATTTATAAAGGACATATTGTTATACCAAAATAGTTAAATAACCACAATGCTAATGTAGTAATTTCGGATTTCGAAATGTTCATAAACGTTAGGACACTTTTTAAGTTATGTTAAACATATACATTTCTTACACAAAAAAAAAAAACAAACAAGGAAAGAAAAAAAAAAGGAAAGAAAATACAAAATTGATGTTCCTCTACGTTAGGACACTATAAAGTTATGTTAAACATATACTTTTCACACACTCATACAAAAAAGAAAGAAAGAAAGAAAGAAAAGAAAAAAAAACCACAAAAACAACCAAAAACAAAAAGTTAAAGAATCTAACCATATGATATTCCCCTGTTTGAACAAACGAATTTTATGTACAAAAGACATCCCATACAAACAAAGGCAAACGACAGAATTGTCAGTAACCCGAATTCTTCTGGGTATGGAGCTAGTATGACCATCAAAGCCTTCAACATGTCCATTAACTGATTCAAAGAGTTCTGTACACCACTGACCAGACCTCGTTCTTTTTCTTTTACCGTTTGCAAGAAGAGCTGTGTTATGGAAAGATCTGCTATCCATAATCCTGAAAAATATACAAGAAGTATAAATGTGTCATTGAAATTCAATGGTCGAATTAAAGATCACTAGAACACATCGCGAAATCGCGGGCATTAAGAGCGTGGTTGAAAGTATGTAAACTGTTGTAGGATGAATTGTTGTAAACGATTTTAGTGACTGGAGAATTTCAGGAAAGGTATCACATTTTTTAAAGTATCTTAAACATAAACTGATGTCAATATAACGTTTTGAATTTTTCACCAGCAAACTTAGGTTTTTGTTATAAACCTCATTATGTAGAAATGGGAGGGCTATCGAAGGTATCTAAAGAATTAATATTGTGTTTTTATGTGGAAAAGACGTGAGAATGGACAAAGAGGGAAAACTGCGGAAATTAGTTGTTGACAGATGACGACGACAGTCCAATAATAACAAGAAATTGTGACTGTATTTAAATGAATCAAAATTTACAATGAAATCCATAAAATATTAGGTGAATTAGTTTTAAAAAATAGATGTGAAATATGACAATTTTTTTTTTTAGTTCTTTGTGAAGATGTCAATGCTGAATAACGCCTTCATAAACTATGTAAACATTCCTAATTGGAAGTCTTGTCTATGACTTAAAAGTCCGTCTGCCTTTATTTTCGTTTTCCTCCAAAAATAACCCAAACGGAATAATCATAAGCGAGGATGACAAATGCGACTATGCATGATACCTATAACACAGAGACCTGATGATTCATTTATTGTGGAAGGAAGAGAAGCGACACACAAAATGAGGTCTTCTCATTTAATAGTATAGATGCAAACCAATATTTCATTTTTCACAAGAAAAGAATGAAAATGTTTAGAGATATTTATGATAAAAATGCGCATCTGGTACAGTAAAACTAGTACCATTAAATGTTTAAATTACTGTTGTCTATAATAACTGACTAACAGATGTTCAGGTTGTTATAGCAACAAAAAAAGTCACATGACTCGATAGGTATGCAGTCTCCAAATATGAATAATACCAACGCGAGGTATGCTCTTTATCATCCATAATTATACTTCAGCAACACAACGGATATTTACTGCCTACCCTTCCGGATCACATGTGTTCACTCTCTGTTTTATATTTGGTTCGTAATGTTTAATGTTGTGTTTTGTGCTCTTTTTCATTTTCTTTCTTTTATCCATGGTGTTGTCCGTCTGTCTTTGACTTATGGTTTTTAATTCGTGATTTCTTTTCCCTTTTTATCAGTTAACGCTTAGACAGCCCATGGACGGAACCAACAGTCCAATATTTGTGAATTAACGGAAATGATTTCGGAAGTGATATGGTTGTGTGATCTTTAAAAAATAAAACTAGTACATGATATCAAGTACGTGACATTTTATCGTTCAAAGGTATTCAATTAATAACCAACATAGCAACAATACTAACAGACTATTTTCATATTACCGACTTTTGACTCCGGAGTATATAATTTTTTCGACAGGTAATCTACTCTGTGATAGGACATTATTGTACTCGAGCAAGTAAGAGTAACTAAACAAAGTAAATTCAAGCTTACAATCGGCGAAATGTTTTGGGGAAAATAACTGTTTTATGTTTTCTACACACGACAAAATCATCGGAAAAAATAAATACCCCCTACAAAAAATTGCATTGTTAATAAGCTTGGTTTTACTTCTTTTAGATGCTCTTACTTGACCGAGTACCAGAATGTCATAACACAGAAGAGGTAATATGTCGAAAATTATATAATCCGTAGTCAAAAGTCGGTTAATATAAAAAAAATAGTCTATTAATGAATGAAAAGGAATTATTTTGTACATACAATAAAAAAATTATAACCGAAAATAAAATTACCAAATCTAGCAACAATGAGTCCTCCAAGGAAAAATCCAATGGATAAGTAGGAATCAGGTTCGTCACTGTCATTTTCAGCCGCACGTGTTGTATTTTGAAATATTATTGTTGTGGGATCGGATACGGATACGGATGTGTTTAGAGTAAAAAGTTCCGTGGACGCAGAAGTTGGAATCGTGACTGTAGAGGCTTCAGTCCCATTTATTATCGAACTATCATCATCATTCAGTCGATGTAACAAATCGAATGGACTTCCAGGTAAGAATATTGATACTACGCATGCGCTCAAACAGGTAATTTGGAAAACCATTCCTGTTAGACCGGTTGATTTTAATCCTAAATGTTTTCGGAAAAGCGGATATGCAAATGTTCCAGTAATACCAAACAATGACCCGACGGCCATAAATATACCAAGAAGGGACTCGGATATTCCTTGTGAATATGCATAACCTACAATGTAATAAAAGAAGTGCGTGAATGAAAACAAATACATACGCATAGCTGTATTTAGACGAAAATGTTCCTAGGAATCATTATGATGAACTCACAAATTTGCTAATAGATATTCGAGAAGAATTTATTTTTACTTTAAATTTATAAAATCATCAATGCATAAATATTAACATAAAGTTAGTGTATCTGATAAAATATCTTAACCTTGATTTTAACTAGTTGATGAAGGAGATAAGTTTTAATAACAAACAATTATGAAAAATGAACTAAATAGTACTTCATGAGGAGCTGGATGGGATTTACAGAATCGAGAATAATAGACAAAATCTACATAAACAATACCAAAAAAAAAAAAGAATAGAGATAAATAGGGCGAAAAAATAAAAGTAGAGAATAATGGGCATAAAGTATAAAGAATAGAGAAAACTGACATAAAAAGTAATAAGAAAAACAGTAATTAAGGACCCCATCCGGACCCCCTTCAGAGCATGAATAATTATTACTTTACAATGATGTTTCATAAGGACTGCATCATTCTATATAATTATTTGCCAGACACCATTCACGCTTGTTTTAAATTGATGTCCAAATACACTTATGTAACTCTATTACTGCACAATGTAACTCTATTACTGCACAATGTAACTCTATTACTGAACAATGTAACTCTATTACTGCACATGCTCTCTATGACAACGTTAACATTATATAGAATGTGTAGAAAATACTTTAAACAAAACAAATGAAAAGCTTTTATCTATCTCTTCAATTCCTGGTTTTAGCATTAAAATCTTTAATAAATTGTTAATCGTTCGTCTTCAATATGATCGAATTAGAGAAAAAATATTCATTCTTACCAACTGTGATATTATCAAAACCTAGTACAGTCATATAGAGCGTGGCGAGACCAAGACCAGCAAAGGCAACTTTGTAACTCATAAAAATCCGCCATCCCTTGTACAAAACTATAAAACTGTAGAACACTGTGTAACACCATGATTTAGGCTTTTTATCTTCTGCTTTATTTTTTTTAGGTAGTTCATCTTCGATGTCAATGCCAACATCCTTTTCTTTAGAAGGTCCGCCATTTTGATTTTCGTTGCTACCATATGTGTACTCCGATTGTCCATCTTCGATCGTGACAGATTTGTCATCTTGGTTGTATTTAACTCCTTTGCTGCTATCATTCCCAATCAGTGGTGAGGTTTCATCTGTAGTTTCTGGAATGAAATTTATAAAATGAAATTGGAATTAATGGAACTAAAGAGAAGAAAATTGACTCCATGTTATTCGAAATTCTAGAATACAGTGCATTGAGTTATTTTTGCGTCGGGTTTTGTATGTAAGTTGTTCTTGAGGAGACTCAGCCAAATCTTCACCGTGTTCAATGTTCACCTTGTAAGACCTTGTGCAGTGTGTAGGGTCAATATCGCGGTAAAATGCTTACTGCAAACATAGCGACAAGTAGACTCACGCGATTCTTTCTATGTAGAAGGTATCCAACTAAATTAGTTTAGAATGAAATATGAAAAAAAAAATCTACAGGACAACTCTGGACAAATCAGGCAATATGGAGGGCTGCTACCGAAATCAAGCAGTTCCGGTTCCACCTGTGACACTCGTCAATGAAAATATTGTTTTTACTGTATTCTTAAGAGTCCGTTTGTTTGTTGGAATCGTTTACACCTTACGTTTTATATACTACAAAACTTCTGTTGAAGAAATCTTAAGAATTAATAAAATATAAAAAAAACCCTAAACATGTACATTTAAGTACAGCTGAACTAAATGGTATCAAATAGGCCTTTGGAAGGCAGAGTTTATCATCTTTCCAACATCTATTTTTGAGTCGAATTGAAACTAGTATTAGGTCTAGTGACCACATATTTTCCCGCCTTCAGCAAAAATTCTTGGACAGTAAATGTCCAACATCGGAGTCGAACTTGTATTTTACATGTATCATGCATGGTCCACGACATTGTGTTTAAATTCAAAAATAGTCTGTCATGTGGAAATTTTAAAAAGAAACCATTAAAACCTTTTTTTTTATCAAAGGGTCCTTCTTTTTGATAATATTCATAAAATATTTAAGGCCAGGTAGAATGAGAAATATTTTTTTTAAATAAAATACACACACAAAGCATTTAACGCGTATCATTAGGAAACATATCAGTATTTCGGTCGTCCGATAAGTGTGTCTTTCAAACATTGAGAGTGCAGTATGTTACGTGTGTTGAAATAAAGAAAGTGCAGCAGATCACATGTTTTGAATTACGAAGTACACATAGTGTTGAGAGACGAAGAACGCACAAAAGACTTGAAGGAGAATGTAATTTGTGTGCTCAACTTATCGCGTATGTTAAACACGGTCATTTTAAGTACAAACCCTCTGCACTGTCTAATCCTTCTTTGAATTTCTGATCAGCAAGGGATGGTATCTGGTCATAAACTTTCTTGATCATATTGTACTCCACAAAAAGGGACACCACATTCCATGAAGCTATGAACACTCCTCCCCAACCAATATGCAGAAAGTAAATGACCTGTCCTGTCACTATCGGAGCTGCTAGTTTAGTAGTCAAATCAATTGATCTGAGAGTTGCCGTCATAGCTGTTAAATATAATAGCAAAAGTATTTTGAATATTTAGTATAAATATAAGAAGATGTAAGACCAAATAAGTAGAATATTAGCAACTAGAGGTCACCGTACGGCCTTCAACAATGATCAAAACCCATACCATATAGTAAGCTATAAAAGGCTCCTAAACAACAAATGTGAAAAAATTCAAACGAAAAAACCTAACGGCCTGATCTATGTAAAGAACAATAAAAAAATATATGTTAAAATATAACAAACGACAACCACTGAATGAGCCTGAATGTGGAGGGGTTAAACATGTTTTCGGGCGCACTGGAAGAACTGTTTACAAGTACAAACAATTCAGAGCTTGACAGTGCTGAACATATCAAAACAACAAATTCAAAGTTAACTGTTTTTTAAGAAAGTTACGGCTACTGAAATCATATATGTTTCATCATAAGAACGGGTGTGTCTTGCATGAAGACGCGCATTAAGATAAAAAAAAAACGCAACTGATGTTATGAAAACTGAAACAGCAATTGCATAAATACAATTTTTAAGTTGACCTATTTCAAGATAATAAAATCAAGGATACTGATAAATACCAATCTTTATTTGTACAAAACAAACTACGATGTTTATATACATAATTGTTGATAATTTACCTTCTGACCTTCTCTCAAATTCGACCACATTTTTAAATATGCTACATAAATGTAAGATATGTTTTCGAACCCTTTCATTACTCACACAAGGATGTCTTAAGGAGGGGTATATGGTGAGATGAATAGAGAAGGGAGTATTTGTGGAATCCTTCATTTCTATTCTTTAGATTTTTTGCCCATTATTCTGTATTCTATATATTTTAGCATCCCATTATTCTCTATTCTTTATTTCTTTATTATTTTTGTGTCTATTTTTCCCTATTCTTTATTTTGATCACCCTTTATTCTGCATATCTTGTCCATTATTCTCTATTTTGTAAACCCCATCTAGATCCTCATATATAGTGCAATCACAACAGAAAATTCTTGCCCGGTTTGAAAGAAAACAGACATTTTGTTTAAGTATGTCCAAAACGCAAAGAACGGTCTTCTCTCTAAGACTATAGTTTTCAGGTTAAAAAACGGGTAGTCAGTAAAATGTTAAAATTGTTATAGAAATGCGAAAGTGACATACTCATAGATATAGGAAGATGTGGTATGAGTGCCAATGAGACAACTCTCCATCCAAGTTACAATTTATAAAAGTAAACCATTATAGGTCAAGGTCATGTCCGTATACTGTAGCAGAAATGTAGAAATGAAGGTCCCTATCCATACCCTCATATTTATCACTATCAGTGTAAACACCTCTTCAAACTAGACTAAAACTTACAGCCTAAAAGATCTGTGTCATGTTGACAAAGTTCTACGACCCAGTCTCTCTCTATAACTATGGTATTTGCTACACTTGCCAAGTCAGCACAGATTCCCAATAGAATGATAATGGCAAAACACAACGTTAGAAGCCATTCGTCTTCCCATTCCGCTTTAATCTCGTCTAGGTACTTGTGAACCACAAATACAACTCCGGCACAAACGGCGACAAAAATGTTTTGCGTTGCTAGAGAAAGTCTTGCAGCTGAAAACATAATGATTATCAGAAATAATTATAAACTACAAAACATTCCGAAAAGTTGTGCCGAATACGGCTATTATAATATATGCCTTGCGTAGAAAAATCTTAGTGTTTCGAATAATCAACCATTTTATAAACAGTAAATTTACAGAAAATGGACATACATGTATCAATGATACGTTATGTCAGCACAAAAAGACAGTCTGAAAACTAATGAACATTAATTTAAACAATTCGTTATGAATCAAATCAAAGTAAACAAACAATTTAACAAGGAAAAAGTTTTAGGAAATTATTTTAAAATAAATATATAGCGCTATATTATTATCCAGTCATTCTTAATCAAGAGTAAATTGCTTTCAAATACTCAACCACTGGTACTAAAGATGATATATCTTTCTAAACTTAAACAACACAAATCATCATAGAGAAAAACGGGGGTTAAATCGCGAACTTCATGGTTTATACACATACCGATGCTGGTAATGCATATTTTCCCTAACAATTCACAACAGCTTTAGCTTTTCCCTAGCCAATCAAATAAAAATTTCTCCAGCAATCATAAATTTCTCCATTTTAAAAGAATTATACCAAGTCAGGAATATGACAGTTGTTATCCATTCGTTTGATGTGTTTGTTTTTTTTGATTTTGCCATTTGATTGGGGACTTTCCTTTTTGAATTTTCCTCGGAGTTCAGTATTTTTGTGATTTTACTTTTTATACCACTTAAATCGGGACTTCTGTCAAAATTGTTAATGTTGTGTTTTGTTTTTGGTATTCCAACCACATTTGTCAAACAGTTAAACTTAATATCTTCCTAGTATCCATTTAATATGAGAGAGCGAGAGAGAAAAAAACCCGACTTTTTTCCCGCATTGTCAATGCCTTTTCAATACTTGTGTTTCAAGAACAAGCACACGGACCTAGTCGTAGTACTTCTATTTTACCATTACGTTGATTGATACGTTATATATAGAATTATTTACCGAAAGATACTTCATTTATGAAATTGCTATCATCTTGATTTGTTATTGCTAATTTTTTACAGTTCACAAACTTTCTTACTCCTACAAGTATACTCTATTATCATCTATCATACTATAAAATACCTTTTAACCTAGCAGTTCTGTCAACCCAATCACCAATAACGGTGGAAAATAGAAGAGTCATCGCGCCTGATATAAAGCCATATATAGCAACCAGCTGTAAAGAATCTGGCTCTAGTTCAATTAAAAACAAACCAATCCCAAACTGCCACATACGATCGCCCTTCAATAAGAAAAGTAACATTAGCTATAAGAAAAGTAAAATTATTATTGGATTAAACACATTTTTCAAGAGGTTTATTTGATGTGTAAACTGCTAAAAACTAAAAAAAAAAGTCTGTTTGTTGACGTTTCATATTGTATGGCTTTTGATTATTTTTGTCGTTGAGGTGCTGTATCCCTAAAATATGCACCAACTTCCCGTTATCCATATTCATCGGAAATTCAATTGATTAAAGAAGAAAACAGATTTTATAGACATTTCAACACATCACTTCATTTTTTTCCTACCATTTAGAAATTATGCTCCAATTATTCAAAAATATTTTGTCATGTTCAGAAATTTTCTCGAATAAAAATACATGAAATTCAATTATTTACATCGCGTTTAAAAGTACCATTGAAAGTTTATTGTTAAAGAGATACGGCATTTATTGTTCTCCGCCAAATCCTTTTAAATACTCACCCATGCTGAGAGAAAGTGACTGATATAGACGAATAGCCTCGTTTTCAGTGTTATTGTAGGATGTCCTACAAATAGAAAATTTCCAAATATAGTAATTAAATACTTTAAGGAAAAAAAATATAAAAAAGTTCTTTTTCGGAAGAAAATATGTAATGCAATTCATGTGCCTGTGGACAGCGAAATATTACATGGTATCCAAGAATAACCCCAAACAGCTATGACCGGGCGTATGACATTTGCGCCGATTTCTAAAAATTTCTATCTTTCATTTGCGCCGATTGTGTACAGGTAAATTACAGGTGAATGTTATTTTTATTTATCATTATAAACCTTTTCAGTTAGCCAGTTGTACATATGTTATGAATTGTCAATTTTAACATGCATACAACTGTTGTCCCCTGCAGTAGATTGTTGTCGTTTTCATCTGGTTCAGAACTGGTGGAGGAAAATCCAGTCTGTTGGGCTAAGCACAGAGTATAAAGACAAATCAATTGACAATGGTAAATGGCTATCGCAATATTTCGGGATACCATTCCTTCCCCCAAATACAATCGAGGACTGCTTCACGTTTGACATGTCTGACGCTCCTTCTTGTGACAAATGTCATGCATTCTTAGACTACGTACTAAGTACTTATATATATATGCGCAACTTCACGTTATCCACCTCATTTCTGGCAGCTGCGCCCGTTGAAAACTGTAAGAGGACATATAACGGTTCAAAATCGTTTCATTTGCATTACAATAAACAGTTCTATTCGCACCACCCTAACATATATGTCGGTTACATACATGTTATAATTGACAATTCATAACATATGTACAACTGGCTAATGGAAGAGGTTTATAATGATAAATAAAAAATAACATTCACCTGTAATTTACCTGTACACAATCGGCACACATGAAAGACAAAATCGGCGCAAATGAAAGAAAAAATCGGCGCAAGTGAAATGCAGATCGGCGCAAATGCAAAACGCCGCTATGACCAAACGAATTTTACGGACAATTAACTATAAATATTAGCAAATTAAAAAAAAAAACCTGCGTCGAATTTTACTTTACTAGTAATACATGTATAATACATAGAAAAAGTCGCATCCGTAGTAACATTCATTTTCGCAAGTATTTATTTAGTTTACTGGTATATTACATTTACAAATACTAGTATCCATTAAACAGTCAAACTGTAGCATTGTCATTCTGCTTAGTTTCTTTTGTTACCTTTTCTGACATCGGACTCGGACTTCTTTTAAACTGAGTTTTACTATGAGTATTGCTGTGTGTTTGTTTAATCTACATTGGTTAGAGGTATAGGGTGAAGTTTGAGATCTCACAAAATATGTTTAACCCCGCCGCATTTTTGCGCCTGTCCCAAGTCAGGAGTCTCTGGCATCTTTTAGTCTTGTATGTTTTTCAATTTTAGTTCATTTGTATGTTTTGGAGTTTAGTATGACGTCCGCTTTTACTGAACTAGTACACATTTTTGTATAGGGGCCAGCTGAAGCCCGCCTCCGGGTGCGGGATTTATTTTCTCGCTGTGTTGAAGACCAATTGGTGGCCTTCGGCTGTTTTTGCTCTTTGGTCGGGTTGTTGTCTCTTTGACACATTCCCCATTTCCCTTCGCAATTTTAAACTACTACAGGTAAAAAAGAAAAAGAAAAAAAATTTAATAAGCAAGTTCGATCGAGATTTCACCACTATAGCGCATTCTCTGAGAGCTGTTTACTCGGCGTGTCAGTGGAAACGATACTGCGAGTGCCGATTGAAATAAGTTGACCTATAGTTGTTAATTGCTGTGTCATTTGGTCTCTTGTGGAGCGTTGTCTCATTGGCAATCATACCACATCTTCTTTTTTACAATTAAAGATGAAACCGTCTTAATCTGTAGTTTTTCAAAAACAGAAATAAAGAAAAGTGAAAAATTAAGATTAAGATAGAAGTAATTTAACAGTCTTGATATTGTGATAAAGTGTATATTATGGTTTTAATTCTCTATTAAAAGGCATTCTAACAATAGTCAAGATGAAGAAATAAACTCATCATAGATACCAGGATTAAAGTTTTGTACGCCAGACGCGTGTTTTGTCTACAAAAGACCCATTAGTGACGCTCGAATCGAACAAGTTGAAAGGGCCAAATAAAGTAGGAAGTTGAAGAGCATTGAGGACCCAAAATTCTAAAAGGTTTTGTCAAATAGAGCTAAGGTAATCTTTTCAAAATAGAATTGTATGTCCTTTATTTCCTGATCTTCAAATTTTTATTTTTTCCCTAGGCTGAATGCCAATATATCATATATCTACAGAGAAAGTGAGAAAGATGCTAGTATTAAAACTTACCCATCCTTCTCAAACCAGTTTTCACAACAAGAGATAATTTTACGTTTTACTTTCGGTACAGTTAAGGACAGTCACAAACTATCACAACAGCAAGCGCCTATTCGTCTTGGTAATAATCATTCCAGTTATTGTGCTAGAAGTTTATATCGGTTAGTCTATAATAAAATCATATATATGTCAAATTCCTGTCTCTCTTCTAAGCTTTTATTTCAATTGGCATTAACTGAACACTAAAGCATAACACGATTACGGTGAATGACTGTAGGTTACGACTTTATTCATCAATACATTTATCTGCACTTCTACCCTTAATTGATAATTATTTATTTACTGTTATACAATCATATCACTTAGACATATGTGAGGATCATGTGACAAAAGTTTGTCAACTGATTATTGTAATTGAAAAGATTAATGAAAAATAAAATGGACTGTGTGTCATTTTACAGATAAAACTAGTCTCGGATGAAGGCCAACCGTATTTGTAAAAATGTCTGAATGCATCTGCCATTTTTAAAGAGATATGATTTTTTTTTCTCTCGCAGGCCTACCATTTTTTTTTCAGGCAGGACTTACATTTTTTCTGTCTCGGGAATAACATTTTTGAAAACTAAAATAAAAACTAAACTAATAATTCAAAATATAGAAAGAAGAACAATTTGTTTTTTCTTTAAAACTCAATGTTTTTAATTTTTACTTATTTTCTATGGAAAGTATTTTTTCTCACTTCCATTCGAGTTTGAAACAATTTATTTTCAGATGATGACATCTCCTTAATCGACGGAGATGATTCAAATCATACTGTCATACTTATTTCCCAATTATTGTTTTTAGCATAAATCAGGCCTTTGGTTTTGTCGTTTGAATGTCTTCTTTTGTTTCATGCTGACTATACCGTATTACGTTTAAGGTTTTGCTTTTCTCGTTGTTGAAGGCCGTACTAAGACTTGTAGTGGTTTACATCCTCTTAATTTTGTCTCTAGGGATTTCTCTTTTGACCACATCTCGATCTTTTTATATATGTAGTGGGATTTAAAGGTAACGTAACTTACAAAAAATCTAGACATGGCACGGCTACCCGAATTTGTGTCATCATGATATGAAGCAAATGAATGATAGAACGAGATATACTACTAAGTATGTACTATGTATAATTTTATGCATAGTCATAACGCATGCCTGTTTTTGATTATATAAAATTATCAAACCGGACACAGATTAAAGAACATACATAGCTTCGATTGTATAACGAGTTGAACAGGTGTGATAAAAAATGTTCTAAGAACATGAGTACAAGCCTCCTTTTGGCAGAGAACACTGCATTAATTCCATCATTAATTAGTAGCAGGCTAAACATCAATGTAAAAAATGACTCTCTATATAGAGGCGGAGCTTGTATGATTGGTATGCATATTTGTTTGCTACAGTTAAAATACCTGACTGTGTCATTTCAATTTTGAATTTTCTTATTGTTTTCAGCTTTGATTGTTATCTGAAAAAAAAAGAAAAAAGTTGTCTGTTGCTTAATAAATCATAAATGTTCTATGGTGGGTAGTTGTCATATTGTCAATCATACACATATTTTTGTTTAAATCGTAATACCATATTACTTAATTTTACTTTCGGTTCTTAAGAGCAACACGTGGGTTGTCAAGTGATGAGCAGATTCTTTTGACTCTTCCGGAGAACACGAGATCATTACATGCTTGTAGTGTGGTTTATGTTGCACAGTCTAAAGCTTTCTGTTTTGTGTTTTATAGGCTGTTGCTTCTCTATTTGGTGTTTTTTTTTTCTCACACTGTCGTAGTCATATTGTCTTTGACCTATGGATTGGAATATCCATTCGGTATCTTCCGTCTCTCTCTTTTATCTTAAATTTGATAGAATGATTGCAAAATGTTTCAGAGATTAAAATAAATCTAATTCAGATTTAAAACCCGTATTTGCTATCACCTTTCAAAGGATAATTTCAGTGTTCTAATCTTATCTTTTTATGAAATCATAATTTTACTGTCGTCAATTCATAGATTGAGTTTTAATTGTTCCGGACTTTGTCAGTCAATCACAACGTCTTTGGTTTCACTACAAACCAGTAAAAGTCTGAAATGGCCTATATTTGTACTCGACTGAACTGATTTTTACTCGACCAGTCTGAATTGGTCTGAAATTTACTTGATATTACTCGACTGTAGTCTGAACCATACTAAACAGTCTGAACTTGTACTCGACCTTTACTCGACCAGTACTTAACCATTTTATACGAGTCTGAACCATACCCGACATAGTCTTAACCATTCTCGACCAAGTCTGAACCATGCTCGACCTAGTCTGAACCATACTCGACCTAGTCTGAACCATACTCGACCAAGTCTTAACCAACCTAGACCTATTTTTTGTATCTATCTATATTATTTTTTCATTAATTTAGGAACTGTTATTCATATATATATATATATATATAAAATGTATATTACATTTAAAATTAAAATAAAACAAGGTGATCAAATTTCTGGTTGGATTAAAAAAATATCATGTAATAAATTAAGTTCGTTAAATGAATTTTCATATACATGATATCATGTTCACATTGATTTATGCATCAAAAATACTATAACTTTCAACCATTATTCAAATATCTTAAATGTTATTCAATTTTTTTTTTATCAAAATATATATAAAATAGTATATAAAGCAACTTAATAAATGTTAGAATTGACACCTTTGTTTTGTAAAATCAAAAATTTAATATAATAATAATAATAAAACTTTCATCTTTTTATCCTTGATAACCTTTTAAAAAAGGAAATGTATTCCAAAGTAGCAGTAGAAATTTATTTTAATTAAATTTAAATACGTTTTGTCAAAATTAAAGACATGGCATACAAGAAGCAGTTTAATGAGGTTTAATGGTTTAATTACCTCAGTACAGGTGTTTTACAGGTAAAAAGAAAACCATATTTTTCTTAAACTCGTGTATTACTTATCTAGTGAATTCAAAGGCCTTGTTATTTAAGTTTTACAGGATGTTGTAATTTTCAATGGATGTTATTTAAAATTTATTACTCTCTGACCAGGTGTGATCTTTTTAATCAGTGTGCGTCAAGCAGGATGTATTACTTTATAGTTTACCCCTAATCAGAAGAAAAATTTTATTCATTTCTTGAATTTTTTATCCCTTTTAAAATATATATATATCCCAAATTATGAATAGGAATAGATATATTTCTGATATAAGGTTAAACAATGTCAGTGATTTTGTTGGCTGTTGTTACCTCATTAAAAAGATAGTTATATAACTATTGTATATAACCATGAAACCTAAGTACAGAAAGTCACAGGACAGAAAGTCACAAATTTGATAGGACAAAAAGTCACAAATAATTTGTATACAATTGATTGAATATTTATGAGAAAGATCCTGAAATGTTTACTTTTTATGACACATATTCATTTTACAGTTTAGGAAATTGTTCATAAGACTTAATTTGATAAATAAAGATTTATAAAATTTTAATCATGCAAAGGATATATTTCTTGGCACCATGAAGCCATTTAAGTACCAAGACATTGTAACATTTTGTTTTCTTAACAATTATTTGATCATTATTGATATTGTTTCAAGAAAAATACAAAAATGTTTTTTTAAAAATAAGTGTTCTATTGTTCAAAGAAAAATAACCTCAAAACTGAATTGTGACTTTTTGTCCTGTGACTTTCTGTCCTACATTCGTTTTTATTTAGGAATTTAGGAAAATCAAGTTTTGTTTAAAAAAAAAACACATGCCAAACAAAAAACACCTTATTTTTAATAAGGTTTTAATACCCTCAGTATAGGTGTGGTTTTCAGGTAAAACAAGTCTTTTATTTAACAAGACTCAGACTTTAAAATTAGATAATTTAACTATCTCGATTTGCCAAATCTAAGAGAATCATGTATTATTAAAGAATGTAAAAAATGTTTTTATATATATCTTTTTTTAATTGTGGCTGTTGTCATGTAAGTTAAAGAGAAAGTTATTTAAACAATCAAAATTATAAAGCAGAGGTTATTTGGTAAAGTATGGTTCAGACTGGTCGAGTATTGTTCAGACCTTTGGTCGAGTATGGTTCAGACTGAAAAAATAGGTCGAGAGCTGGTCGAGTACTGGTCCAGACTGGGTTAAGACTGTTTCAGACTGGTCGAGTAATAGTTTAGACTATTTTCAATAGCAAAGATAAGGGTCAAGTACAAATCAGTACAGTCGAGTATGGTTAAGACTGGGTCGAGTAATATTAAGTAAAATTCAGACCAATTCAGACTGGTCGAGTAAAAATCAGTACAGTCGAGTACAGATATAGGCCATTTCAGACTTTTACTGGTTTGTAGTGTTTACGTTATAGAATTATAATATCTAGATTGCATTTGTTTCTAAAGCCGCAAAATGGCGGAGATATCATGGAATTGTTTAAGATCTTGACATTGCACTGCTGCTTGAAATATTTGAATTGTTTTGATTTGAATTCTCAATGTTTTATTCCATAGTATATCAATTATACCGTTGTATTTTTGATTTTGATGTTTTGTTCTATTGTTACACATTGTTTTGTTGTATTGCTAATTATTGCTTTGGTCTATTGCTACTTATTGTTTTGTTGTATTGCTACATATTGCTTTGTTGTATTGCTACACAATGTTGTGTTGTATTACTACATGTTGGTTTGTTGTTAAGCTGCATCTTGTTTTGTTGTATTACTACACATTGTTTTGTTGTTTTGCTACACATTAGTTTGTTGTATTGCTACACATTGTTTTGTTGGATAGTTACACATTGCTTTGCTGTATTGCTACACATTGTTTTGTTGTTTAGTTACACATTGCTTTGTTGTATTGCTACACATTGCTTTGTTGTATTGATACACATTGTTTTGTTATAATGCTACAAACTGTTTTGTTGTATTTCTACACATTGTTTGGTCCGAGGACACGGTTATCGTCCTTAGATTTTCGTTGTCTTACAAATATAG